CGACCACGGGGACGATTTAATTGGCTGAAGCTGTGCCCTTGCACTCAGGGGCTGGGAAGAGGATCAGACGGGCGTCCCTGGCAGCAGCGGCAGGAGAACTGCGGCGTCCACATCCAAACTGGGGCCTTGAAGCTGTTTGGAGGAACCTGCGGAGCTCCCTGCAGGCAGGCCCCGCTCCGGCACTGACGGGTTTTAATAAGATCTTCCACCTGGGCCAGGAAACCCCTCGTTATGCTGCACGTTTAAAGCATGAATCTAAGAGCAGCCAGGATGAAGGGCACACGGGCATTCAGTTCACAGCCAGGATGAAGGGCACACGGGCATTCAGTTAACAGCCAGGATGAAGGGCACACGGGCATTCAGTTCACAGCCAGGATGAAGGGCACACGGGCATTCAGTTCACAGCCAGGATAAAGGGCACACAGGCATTCAGTTCACAGCCAGGATGAAGGGCACACGGGCATTTAGTTCACAGCTTGCGGGAGGCACTGCCGAGATGGAAACCCCCCGAGCGCGGTGTCCAGGCCATGGCAACAGCCAGCGCGGCCCTAACCCTAACCATAACCCTCGCCTGGGTTGGTGCCGGGCTGAGCCAGACCCAGTGGGGCAGGGGAGGGGCAGCACGGGCCTGTCTGCGCCAGCCCGAGGGTGGCCCCCGCGCTCTCCTGTGCCCCTCCTGCCCCCGCCAGCCCCCCACTGACCTGCTGCCTGGGGGTGCTCATCCCGGCCCCTATGACACAGAGCTCAGCACGGCGTCTCCCTCGAGGCCATTGTGTGCGGCAGCGCTTGCCGACACCTGGCCCTGGGACCAGCTGGCGTTTATCTGCCTGGGCTTGGCCAATGGGAGGGCAGGCCCCACGCCCAGGCCCCGGGTGTGCTCACCTGAAGGGCTGCGGTAAAAACAGCACGTTTTCCCATGATGCAGCGGGCCCCAGCCTTCTCGGCACCAGAGACCAGTTTCGTGGAAGGTGATTTTCCCCGGGCCGGGTGGGGTGGGTGCCGTGGGCGGGAGGTTGTGGGGAGCCCCCCTGCAGCGCCCTGGGGGAGTGGGGCCACGGCGTCCCCCCCAGGCCCACCCCCTCCACAGTCCCCACCACAGTCCAGTCCCCTGCTCGGCCCCACACCCTGTGTCCCGCCAGGGACAGGGTGGAGGCATCCTCGCTGTCCGTGCCTTGCCAGGAGGCCAACCCTCCCACGCCCAAGTCCACTGACCTAAAAACAACCAAACAAAGGACGAGTGCAAATGCCTTCTGGGGCCACGACAGTCCCCGAGTCTCTGGAAAGTGCCAGTCTCCCCACCCCTCATGGCTGTGTCTGGGCACCAGGACCCTGCAAAACGGCCTGGGGCAGCAGGAGGAAGCCCCACACAGGCCTGGCCCGTGTGGACCGCCCTGTCCTCAGGCAAGGCTGCTGCTTGGTCCTGGGTGGCAGGTGTCGCTCCTGGCCACCAGGCCCTTCCCACGCATCCCCCACCCTCACCCTGGTGGCCGACGGGACCACCCTGCAGCCCAGGCCTGAGAGCTGCCTGCAGACTCCACGCTGGGGACAGTTTCCAGGACTCAGCCCTGGAGCCCCCTTACGGCCTGGGCACTTGGCTTGGAGCCCCGGGGCGGGGAACCAAGACCACGCTCGAGGCGGGGAACTCGAGAGGCGCCTGCCAAGAGTGCCTAGACCTGGGGGGGACAGGTGGGGAGCCCAGCGGGGCCGCCCAGGCCCGCCCGCACCCTCTCAGACTCCCCCATTGTTCTCAGACGCAGGGACAGCACGAAGCTGGAGAACGGCTCTGGGCCCACGCTCACCACGTCTCAAAAGCTCACGTCCCGCAGGGGGCAGGAAGCAGGCGGCACTCACGGGTGAATTCATCACTGCAGCCCCGTCCTTTGAAGTAGATGTTACCGGACCTGCAGCCTTCAAAGCTCGGCCTCATCCAAACCTCCGCAGACGCGGGCTCAGGTCTGACAGACACCACGGTTTCTTGCGTCCTGCGACACGGCCCCGCTCACGCTCCGCAGGGCGCAGCCGGGCACGGCCCGAGCGGCCGCGTCCGAGGGGTGTTAAGGCCGCAGGAAAGTGCTGACGGAAGGCAAACTCTCCGGGCACAGCGAGGGGGCCCGCGGCCAAACCCCGTCACCCCACGCAGACCCCACACACCACTGCCCACGACAGCCTCGAGGGCAGAGCACACGGAGCCGGGTCCGGGAGGAAGCGACTGCGCGGGCGGGTGGGGCGGGCGTCACCCCCGAGGGCCTGGCGCATGGCTGCCCAGCACTGGATGTGCAGCTGGCGCCACCGGGGACTGGCGTCTCCTCTCGTGTGACTCACTTGAGAAACTTGGGGGCCGCTCCCTAGGGATGTGCCTCCCGTGGGGCACAGGCTACACCGCCACGAGGCGGCCGTGCTCTTGTTAACAACTTCGGTACGAGCGGCGACTGTAGCCGACAGCCACAGATGAGCGCGCACAGCCGAACGGCGACTGTAGCCGACAGCCACAGATGAGTGCGCACAGCCAAACGGCGACTGTAGCCGACAGCCACAGATGAGCGCGCACAGCCGAGCGGCGACTGTAGCCGACAGCCGTGATATGAATGCGCACAGCTAAGCGTCGACTTTAGTTTATAATTTTGAATTGACGTTTCTAATTTTTCATTTATCAAAATAAAATTGTGAACATTTAAAAATAACGTAATGAAAACATATATGTATATGTCACCTATTCTGATTACGTTACAAGTAAAGCTGCCTGTACAGTAAAACAAGCTTTCATGCTTTAAATCTTTCCTCATCACACAAGAGCAAAACGGACTCGTCGTCAACACACAGCACACACTACCGTGCGGACTGTGAGTGCGGCTGTGGGCGAGGTTCCGAGGCCGGTGAGCGCTGGAGCGCTGGACCGAAGGGGTTGAAGCCACTTCGCAAAACGAAGATGCGGTCAGTGTCATTATCAACCACATGAGCGCAGAAAGAGAAAAACCACCAGGTGAGACAATGTGCTCACCGAGAAAACCTGAGCGACCTGCGGTTAGCCACAGGAAGGAGACCTGCAGGCCCCACCAGCAGACGCCTGACTTCCAGGGACCGGCGCCCCGGCCCCGCCTCAGTGCCCGGCTGCTTCCCGTCTCCAGGACAAGGGAGGAGGGGACGGGCCCAGGACCTGCGGCCGCTCCTTGGGGGTCTCAATTCCTGCACGATGCTCGGAATGAAGCTCTGTGCGGCACAGGGTGGAGACAGCACGAGATCCAGTCCCCTGCGGGGCTCTCGTGCAGAAAATGTCTTGAAGAGTCAACAATTTGCCCCAACGTCCCTAAAATCAACCCCTGCCGCCAGAGCAGCAGTGACATCCGTGAAGGCCCCAGGCACGCCGACAGCAGCATGCGCGGAGGGCAGATTCACCTCGGCTCCCACCCGGCGCAGCCTCACAGCGGCCCTGACAGGGCCCAGGTGCCACCACCTGTGGGGACCTCACGTCCCTTTTGCTCTGCGGTGGCTGGGGCGTGGGGGGCAGCTCCAGCACCACCCGCCTGGGGTCCACTGCTTGGCCGGCGCCCCACCCTGACGAGGGTGTGGGGGGATTCGGAGCGGACAACGCAGCTCCCCGCCCACTGGCTGACCCTCCCTGCAGTGACTCGACACCAGGCACCCAGTCCGGGGCGGCCACCACTGCCCCTCTCCGCCCTGCGTGGGCCACGGTGCGCGCCTGGCTCGCTGCGCAGAGCCCGATGTCCTGGCAACAGCTCAGAGCTTGCTGCACCCGAGAGCCGGGCCCCTCCCGGAGTTTGCTAGGAAAGAAGGCGTGTTGGTGTGCACGTTGGAGGGGATTTGGTGCCACACACATTTCAGTCGCTCCTCGAGGAGGCCGGGCCTTGCGCAGGGCGCGGCGGCACCTTCTCACGCCTCTCCTCCCCTCCAAGCTCACCGAAGCTCCTTCCCTTTGACACGGCTTTGTGCAACTAACACGCTGTGTGACTCTCGGGTTGTGAGCAGTCGTGCCGGGCTCCCAAACCGAGAAGGAGCTCCCGACACGGCCCTCCTCACAGACAGGACGGCCCAGGGCCGCACGTCCGGTCGGTCCCTGCGCCGCCCAGCCGGAGCACCCAGACGCACCAGGCCTGAGACGCTGTTGCTTCGGACGGTTACCTGCCTTTTAAGGTGATTAAGAATCAGGAAATCTTTTAAATTTATATTCGAACACATTCTGATGTTTGTTTCTTTAGTAGATCCAAACTCCTGACACCACTGGTCCTCAATGCTTAGGACTGAAAATACGTAAGGAACAAACACGGAGAGAGTGGCTGTGACGTGAGGGCACGGTTCCGTGGCCTGAAGCCGTGGGCGGCCTGGACGAGACGCCCCCACCCCACCCCCAGAACCGAGGAGAGGCCGAGGTAGGCTGGTCCCGAGGCCTACTACACCTGTGCGGCCTTGCAGACGAAAGCCTGCTTCTTCCACTCCCTCAGTCTGGGAGGGGTCGTCGGCTCACAGGCCCACCCTGTGCCCCAGGACCTCCCGGAGGCCTTGGGCCTACCTGCTGCACACCCACCGTCCTCCTCCCACCATCCCCCATTGTCCTCTTCCCACCATCCTACCCCCACCGTCCTCCTCCCCACCATCCTCCCCTACTGTCCTCCTGCCACCCTGCCAGCACCCTCCGTGCCTGGGCTGGACACCTGAACCTGCCCTACCTGATGGAGCACAAGCCACGCTGCCCCTGGGCCGAAGGCTCACATGTGCTGGGGGAGGGACGGCCCGGGGCTTCACCCCAGGGAAGGGCGGGAGGTGACACTGCTGGGGTCCCGAGATCGCACAACGCAGTCGTCCCAGGCACTTTCGAGTTTCCACCTGGGCACTGGCCGCTCCCTGGGCGGGAGCCGGCTCAGGGGACGCAGCGGCGAGCCCAGGGCTCAGCACACTGGGACGCTGGCGGCAGGAGCCCGAGAGGTGACAGCAGCGGGGAGATGCGTGCAGACACCTACGACACGAATGTGGCGGTTTTCACTTACCGAAAGAATACCTGAAAAACAGGAAAAGAAAAATGTATTAAAATTGTGGCTTGCTTTGACCAAAGACTACGATAAGTTCAACCCCACGTCTCCCCGACAGATGAAGACCCCACCCCACCGTGGGCCCCGGGACAGCGGGGTCAGCAGGGTCAGGCAGCTGGCGAGAGAACCCCTGCTGGGCGCTGGGCCCAGGAGCCCCCCATGGGGCGAGGACACAGCGACGGTGAGTCGCCCACATTCGGACCCCCACATCCTGCAACACTGGGGACTGCGGTCACACGCGGCCCACCAGCACCAAAGCCCACCTGGGTGCGGGAGGAACACCTGCCCAGCCACCTCGACCGGCATGGGCCCAGCTCTCGGCACTAGAAAGGGGCACACCCGCAGGGAACCCCGAGACGGGGAGCTCCGCCAGCCCAGCCAGACACAGAAGGCCCCGCAGATGCGACTCTGTTTCAGGAAGGGCCCGGAACAGGCAGCCCCAGGGATGGGCTGTGGGCCAGTGGCTGCCAGAGGGAGGGGAAGGGGGCTGAGGTGGGCTGAGAATGTTCTAGACTGAGGTACAGTGAGGGCTTCAGAGCCCTGTGAATACATAAAACCACTGACCAGCCCCTCCCATGCTGGACTTTGGTGTGTGCACTGCACCTGGGAGCCAAGGGGGGGAATGGGAGTGGGGGATGGGAGGTGGGGGATGGTTGGTGGGAGGTGGGGGGATGGAAAGGTGGGGGAATGGAGGTGGATGGAGTGGGGATAGAAGGTGGGGATGAGAGTGGGGATGTTTGGTGAGGTGGGATGGATGTGATGAAGGATAGGAAGTGGATGGTTGTGGGAGTGGGAATGGGAGTGGGGATGGGGAGGTGGAATGGGAGTGGGGGGATAGGAGTAGGATGAGAGGTGGGGGATGATAGGAAGGATGGAGGTGGGGGATGGGAGGTGGGATGGAAGGTGAATGGAGTGGGGATAGGAGGTAGGGCATGAGTGGATGTTGGGGAGTGGGATGGAAGGTGGTGGTGGTTGGTGGGAGGTGGGATGGAGTGGGGATGGTGGGTGGAGGTGGGGATGGAAGGTGGAGGTTGGTAGGGGTGGGATGGGAGAGTGGGGGATGGGAGGTGGGATGGTTGGTGGGGGGTGCAGGAAGGCAGGACGTGGGACTGGCAGTGCAGGGCTCTGACACACGCCCAGGCGCCGCCCCACTTTGAATGCATTTGTGGTGCTGTGGGGGGTGGGGAGGAGGAAGGAGAGGGAGGAGGGAGGAGGACAGAGTGTTGGCTCTTCCACAGCCGTGGCAGGCGGGCGGATGCCCACGGCTCTGGAGTCCTCGTCAGTCACCCTCCCCTGGCAGGACCACACAGGTGCGGCAACACGACGCGGGACGCGCCTCCCACGCCAGAGGACAGGAGCCAGCGAGTGGCCATCCGTGCAGCCACAGAACGTCAGCTGGCATCTCCCACAGGGTGAGGGACAGACAGTGGTCTGGACACGGCTCCACTCCCAGGTGACCACCCCAAAGCAGGGATTCACCTGCTGGGAGCCAGCGCCTTCCCGGAGGACGGGCAGGTGCCTGGGCGGGTGCCCACCTCAGTGTCCCACCAGGAACAGGCGACGCGGGAAACAGACACACCCACGAGAAACCCTGTTTATTTCAAAGCGACGCATGACTCTGAAATCGTCATAGAAGGTGAATGTCGCAAAGCGAGGGACACAGAAGAGATACGACAACTAAGCCCACCACCAGCCCCAGCCTGGAAAATAAACGTCATAAAGATTGTTCCAGGTCAGATAACAAAACCAGCAAAGGAGCAGGAGATGAGGTCACAGGTGGGTCCACGTTGAGCGTACTGAGGGTGATTCCCGTAGGAATGTAAAAGAACATTCTCAGGAAACACACCCCGAAGAGATTCACCGACCACGCAAAGTGGCCGGAGCTGCTGTTCTGAGCGTCTGGTCCTCACAGGGTTTGTTTAGTTGTTCTTTCGAGTATTAAGAGAGCCATGTTGAACCTCCAACCATAACTGTGAATGTACATGTTTCCTCCTTTAGTTCTGTCGATTTCTGCTGCGTGTGCTCTGTGACGTGGTGCAGTTCTGACGCCCAGACGGCCACGCTGGCCACACGCTGCCCCGGCGCTGACGCTGAGCTCCGGGCAGGACTTAGGTGCTTCGGACAAAGGCGTCTGACAAACGGTGCCAACACCCAGCTTCCCAGCAGTTAAGCAGCAGGACCCAGCGGTGGCCCTGCTGACACGGAAGAGGCGGGGACAGGCCCTGGAGCACCCGCTGTGCAGGGCGACCCTCCGCCCAGAGTCCCTGGACCTTGTGAACAGACAGCTCGGGCCGTTTGCTCATCAAACCCGTCTGCGCCCTTCAAACACCTTAAGGTGTGGCGCGGCCCCAGGCCCCCGAGACGGACCTGCAGACCCGCGGGGAGCAGGTGGGGGATGCACGGAACCTCACTTTGTTTATCCTGGAGCCAGAACAAGTTTTCCATACTTGCTGGTCAAAAACGGGGCGGGAAGCGCAAGCCACCTGGCACTGGCTGGACGTCCCGCGGCCCGGCCTCTGCTCCGGCGCTCTTTGAAGTGGAGCCGCCGCCCCTCCCGTCTAGGAAGGAAGTGCCCACGGCAGCTCCTCTGCAGGAAGGAGGACCCCCGAGACACCCCGACTTCCGTCCCAGTTTCTAGAGATAGTCTTTTCTTCCTCCAGGGGGTTGGGAAGGAGAACAGGGCGGCTGTCTGGCCATCGCGGACGGCAGCAGAGGAACCCCCAGGGCCACTGCCAAAGCAGAGCGCAGACAGAGGGACCAGAGACAGCGCTCGGGCAGAGTCGGCGCTCACTGGAGAGACAGGAGCAGCGACGGGGTCTCCGACGCTCTGCAAGGCCCTGCTGTGGAAAGGCCAGTTCTGATCAGAGGTGGGTCCCTCTTTAGAGCCATTTAAACCGTGTGTGGTGACAGCCGTTAAACCCTGGCTCCATCCTCTCACAGGCTGGTGCTCCCCAAGACCTCTAAGTTCCTAGACCGAGTCAGACATCCAAAGCACTGAAACACGTGTGAGGCCACGCTGACATGCACGGAGAGCAGGCCAACAGGTAGACAGGGCCAGGGACACAGCTCCCTGCAGAAGCGTCCTCACCCCAGCAGGCGGAGCCCCCAGGCCTGCGCACAGCTGCACAGACTCCTCCCAGAGCGCCAGACGCCGGGCGAAGTTGCTGTGTGGAGAAAGCCGCCAGCACATGCCACGCGGGCCGGGCAACGTCCTACGGGATGAGTCCTGTGGGCAGCGGGCACCCAGCACCATGTGAAGAGGAGGCTCCGTGGCAAACCACCGACAGCCATGGCAGTTGTGCCCAGGCAGGTCGGTGGGAACGTGCCCTTCCCTGCGCCCCAGCCAGCGGTGAGCACCGACCCCAGCACATGCCGGAACCCGTCCTGACTGCACGCGTGCGGCCACGGAGAGGCCTCGGGGAAGAGCCAGTCGTGGGCGCCAGCTTCCTGCCCTGCCCTGCAGGAAGGTGGCAGTTGATGACACCCTTCTCACCCAGCGTGCTGCCACCTGTGAGGAACGCCGGCCTCGAGGCCAGCACAGCCACGTGGGCGGGGTCGCGCTCACCCACAGGTGCCTGTGTGCCAGCTCCTGTCCCCTGCACAACCCCCCGGCACTGTGCTGTGCCACCAGGGCCAGGTCATGGCATCATCAGCCTCCGCTCCATGCAACAGCTGGGAAACGGGGTTCCCAGGAAGGCAGACAGAGCCGAGTTCTCAGCACGTCACGAATTCACTGGTGTCCTTGATGATACTCGGTCTCATCACACAGGGTGTCTGGCCAGTCAGAGGGGGCATGCTTGGACAGGGTCCTGGCTCTGGCTCCCACCTGTCTCCCTCCCTGACAGACACAAGAGCTGCCTGGGACCCCCGCAGCTGCCAGCCCATCAAGAGAACCAAGCTCAGCCGAGCCGCCTGGCCTGGAAAGAGCCCTGTAGTGACAGGCAAGAGAGTGACCAGACCACTGACCAGCCACTGACCAGCCACTGACAGACCACCAACCAACCACTGACTGACCACTGACCAGCCACTGACAGACCACCAACTGACCACTGACTGACCACTGATCGACCACTGACAGACCACCAACGGACCACTGACCGACCACTGACCAACCACTGACCAGCACGGACAGACCACCAACTAATCACAGACTGGCCACTGACTGACCACTGACCTGCCACTGACCAACCACTGATCAGCCACCAACCGACCATTGACCAACCACTGATCAGCCACCAACTGACCACTGACCAGCCACTGACAGACCACCAACTGACCACTGACCAGCCACTGACAGGACCACTGACAGGACCACTGGCTGACCACTGACAGGACCACTGGCTGACCACTGACAGGACCACTGACAGGACCACTGGCCGACCACTGACAGGACCACTGACAGGACCACTGACAGGACCACTGACAGGACCACTGGCCGACCACTGACAGGACCACTGACAGGACCACTGACAGGACCACTGACAGGACCACTGGCCGACCACTGACAGGACCACTGACAGGACCACTGACAGGACCACTGGCCGACCACTGACCTGCCACTGACAGGACCACTGACAGGACCACTGACAGGACCACTGACAGGACCACTGACAGGACCACTGGCCGACCACTGACAGGACCACTGACAGGACCACTGACAAGACCACTGGCCGACCACTGACCTGCCACTGACAGGACCACTGACCTGCCACTGACAGGACCACTGACTGGCCACTGACCGGCCACTGACTGACCACTGACCGGCCACTGACCACTGACAGGCAAGACCACAGCCTAGACCACAGAGCAGCCCCGGCCAGCATGTGGCATTACTCTATCAAGTGGCTGTCCCCAGGACAGGGGGGTCACAGGGGTTTTAAAGATACGTTAAAACACAGAACGTCTCTCAAAAAGGCCTTCTTTATTGAAGAAAAGGGAACCCAGAATGGCCCCTGACCACCCCTAGCCACACACCCTCAGAGACAGCCCCGTGACCCGTGCCACCGCCCCTGTCCTCGCACATCATCACACCAGGGCTCTTCCAGCCACACCCGACGCTGGGACGGGGCCCCGGGGTCGCCAACGCGCACCACCAGGCCGAGCCCCTGTGCCTTGGCGCCTCCGCAGAGCGGGAGACTCTGAATGCTGTGGACGACGGTGACCCCTATGCTGGGACTTCATCTCGGCCTCCGTCTGATCCGGGAGAAGCAGTGGACGGGCCCCCAAGAGGTGCCAGTTCCCGGCAGGGCAGGGACAGGCCTCCAGGAACCTGTGCGGCGGAGCGCGCGAGCCGGTGGGTGGGCGCGTCCCTCCCGCTGTGCCGCTGGTGAGCAGCCACACCCGCCCCACGTGGACGCGCGCCAGCAACGGCGTCCCCCGTCTGACAGCTCAGCCCTGCACAGGCTCCTCTCTCCACTTGAAATACAGGGGTGTAGGAGAGATTGCGTCGGACTTTACCTTTGAATTTGGGGTAGCAAGAAAGAGGAAGCCTTTCTACTTGCCGGCCCCCCCAGGCGCGATGTCAAGGTCACCTGTCCGCAAGCTTCCCACACCCCGAAAACTGCCACCCGCCAGGGAGACCAGGCTCCAGGGAGCTGAGAGCACCTTCTCCGTGGACGGCCTGCGTCCAGCTGAGCACCTCACCCGGTGCGTGGCGCCTGTCAGTCCGGGCCCCCGGCCACACACGCCTGGCCCCCAGACAGGACCCGGCGCCGCAAGCGCAGGCGTCCAGCAGCGAGGGCAGGTCGGCCACTGTCTCCACCGAGAGCCTCTCCCGTCACGTTTCCACCCCAAACAGCGCACGCGCCGCTTCTGAGAAAACGCACCTCCGTTCCATCTGGCTTTCGGGAGCCCAAATCAATCTGAATCGTGTTTTTGACATTCCCAAGGGCAGGGGAGCAGAATGTCTCTTCCAGTGAAGAAATACAGGACGATGTTCTCGCCCTGAGTGCTCCGCCGGTCTCCAAAACCTCAAACGTGGTTAATCTTTCCCGACCCACACATCCCAGACGTGACTGGAAATGCTTTCCAAAGTCAAACCTGCAGTGCCTGCAGCTTCTCCCGGTTGCTGAGCGGGGTGACGTGGGGCCCGAGACTCGTGTCGGGCCGGGAGCTGCCGCCATGCGCCACCCCTGGCGCTCTCAGCTGCCGTGACTCCCACCGGTGTCGCTGGGCCAGGGCAGCTCAAATCTCCTCCTCTGGTTTGGAGTAAAACCGCAACGGCTCAAACACCAGCAGCCTCCAAGAGTCACAGGGAAAGGCAGCCAGAGCCCCCCTGCGCTGTAAACTTCCGCGCGCACTGCTCGGGGAGACTGGGAGCGCAGACGCTGGTCCCCGAGGCGACAGCACCCTGAGAATGCAACGTGGGAGGGCTGCGGGGCGAGGAGGCTGCCTCACCACAGTGCATGGCCACACGGCCAGTGTGGTGGCCCCCAAGGCAGCCAGACGGCCGGGCACGGCGCACGCACCACGGCCTCCTCACCACGCAGAAGCCGACGGTGGCTGCGCAGCAGCTCCCATCTCCACCCTCACGGCTCAGAGAGAACGTGATAAACCACATCCATTCCTCTCCGGGAAACCAGCGCAGTCCCGTACGGGCCGAACGTCATGGTGTTCTCCTTGATGTGTTTTTGGTCTCTCGGGGACACACGTCTCACAAATGCCTCATGAAGACACGCCTGCGGCCCAGTAATGGCTGCAACAGCCCCTCGGCGCTCCTTGCGACGCCATGCAGGTCAGTCTCCTGCTGGGCACCACGCCACAGCGGGACGGAGCTGAGGCGTTCCTGAGCGCCTCCCTTGAGCCTCAGAGCTGCGCCTGGCCCCCACGGGCGGGCGGCTGGTGCGAGAGTGCACAGGGGGCCGGGACAGCGGGGGCGGGGCTTGCGGGGCCCAGTCTGCCGTCCTGCAGCCCCTTCACGTCCACCTCCCACACATCCACACGGACAGACCCCAGCCCACCTCTGGTCTCCATGGACACGAGGTCCACTCGTCCTGCAAGGGGCAGGCCTGACCTGTGACCCCAACACTGTGCCTGGGACTGGTGATGGTTCCTCTTGAATAAGGAAGGGGCGAGTACAAGGGCCGGCCTCAAAACCCAGCCCCCAGGGGGCTGCCAAAGCCCACCCCTGCCTCTGCCTCCCCCAGTGGGGACGCGCCACTCCAGCAGGCCGGGGTCTTGTTCCCCAACATAACAGCTCCTGCTGTCGGGGTGACTGGCCACCAGCAGGCCCTATCACGGCCTTGTGAAATGAGAACGTTCTCCTGAATTAATCTAAGACGAAAGCATGTTCGGGCTCCACGCCTGCCAGGAGACCAGGGAGTGAGTTTCGCAGGGACAGTCCCCAGAACACCGGGTGGCGGCAGCCCTGCACTGCACGCTCCCCGCCCCTGCCCACTTACCAGACCTGCCCCACGTTGACCAGGGACAGGTAGAGCACCCAGAGGGCGGCCATGAGGACCATGTTGGCGCAGCCAGCTATCAGGACGAACGACGAGATGCCCAAGCCCAGCAGCGCCAGGAGGTCCAGGTTGAAGTTCATGTCTGACCAGTCCAGCAGCCAGAAGACGGTCGGGACGGAGCTCAGGGCCTCCCAGCCGCGCCGGCCCTGGAAGTAGCGCTGGATGTTGGTCAGGTACGCTTTGCAGGGCAGCAGGCCCCTGTTGCCAATCAGCTGCTTGTTCTGCTGGAGAGCCACCAAGAACGCCACGACTGGAAGAGAAGGAGGACAAAGGGACTGTGAGCAGGACAAGCCATCTGCGGACACTTGTCAGGCGTGTGGGGGCTTGGCGGGGCGGGAGGAGGAGGCAGAGTCCAAACTCCGGACTCGAGTCAGTATTTTCTCAAAATTTCAGGGGAAATACTGGAAAACCCAACCTGGGGAAGACGTGTTATATGCGTGTTTTCTCTACCTACACATGCATGTACATAAATCAGATGTCGTTCACATAGCACACGTGCCTGCTGTGGCCCTTCTCAGCAACACAAGAACGCCCGGCCGTGAGGCCCGCCCTGGCAGCCACACGTAGATGGACAGTGCCGGCTGCTTCCAGCGGAGCCCAGGTCATCTGTGTATGCATGTGCGCATGTACACGCATGTGTGTGTGTGCAAATGTATGCACATGTGTATACGTGTGCGCACGTACATGTGCACGTGCCTGCATACTTGCATGAGTTTGTGTGCAAATGTACATGAGTTCGTGTGCACGAGTGTGTGCGTGTGAGAGCGTGTGCATGTGGAGCGGGAGAAGCACAGACGGCGGCTGGCCAGCCACTGCACACTTCACAGCCTGGCCGGCCCTAACCCCCGTGGGCTAGGGCTCCTTCCACACCAGAACCTCATTAGCAATGGCTCAGCAGCCAGAGCACGGTTCAAACTGCAATGCCACAGAAGAAAGGCAAGATTTGGTGTCACCAGTCTAAGTTTTAACAAGTAATTCTAAGACAAGACGCATAGGAAACTTCCTACTTACCAGGAAGAAATGAAGAGAGATTAGACTTAGGTTCCAGAGAACAAAAGTATTTCAGTCTGCACTCATGTTATAAAAATAGCGAAGTAGAAAGAAGAGCGAACGTTTCAAAACACCACAGGCTCCCAAAGCTGAGCCAACCCACCCAGCCCCTCAGACAGGCACAGTCACTGCCACGGGAAGGAGGGTGGCGGGCCGGGCCCTGGAGGCCCTGCCAGCTGTCACCGGCCTGGGACCGACCTGGGAGCAGCGATCAGGAGACACCGTGTCACCTAAGCTGTCTCAGCGAGGACAGCCTGCAAATATTTGCTCTAAAAATCACAGAAAGAAATCAGTTCTCTCTTTTTCTTTCCATTTCAGCCAACATGCCATAAAATCAAAACAGAATCATCTCAGAAATGCCATTCTCTGCTGGGTGGTTTTTATTACTGTGGTTAAATTCCAGGCCTTGGCACGAAAACCTCGAACACACTCCTTGTGAAGGCAGGTGCTGAGGAGCCCCGAGGCCGGCGCGCTGTTTGCTTTTCGAACACGCCCGAGCCTCCTACAGAGGACTTGGAAAGCCAGGTGGTGCGTGTCGTGTGGCTGGCAGTCAAGCGTCCCGAAGACGGGGACACGCACTCACTTCCCACGAACTCTCAGAACCACCGAACGCTCAGACCAGAACAGAAGAGCGGGACCCCAGCCATTCCTCTTGGCTCCATTCCCCTCAAATTTTCCAAGGAGCATCTGGGAGTTTGGCAAACACAGCGCCACGGCTCCACTGGCCGAGTCAGTCCCGTCCGGGTGCCGTCGAGAAGGCGTGCCACAGGGGCTCGGGTGAGGCTGGATTTACCTCCAGGAAGCACGAGACGCGCCAGCGCTTCCCAGAGCGCCTTTTAAAGGCGCCTCGCCGTACTCAGACGGCAACTGTGGGTAGAAGCAGCGGAACCCCGCACGACACGTGGCATACACAGGACGACCTGCCCCGAGAGACGCAGGCCTCACACACGTGTCGAGAGCCCGAGGGGCCGGTGACCACCCACCGGAATCTGGGCAGAACGTCTCTGAGGCCCTGCAGGAGTCGGGTTTGGGGAAGAAACTTGCCCAGGGGCTGGAGGGGAAAACGTCAGGGCCCCCTCCCGCCGCGTGGGCGCGCCTTCTGTTGCCCAGCTGCGTCCACGTCACCCAAGGACCACGCCGAGCAGCGGGCTGGGAGGGAGGAGCCCACTTTCTTCTCTGTTTATGCTTCATTAAGGGCATTTTCCTGGTTCCAGCCCAAGCAGGGCACGTGAGCGGTCCCCAGCCACCGTGCCGCAGGGCCCCGCCGGGCGGCGCTGCTTGGTGCAGACTCGGGGCTTGGAGGGAGCGGACGCAGCGAGGCCAGAAGCTCGTCCAGGGCTGCGGACGTGGCCTTGAGACTGAACGGTGCCCTGAGGCTCCCAGGGAAGAACAGGAGCCTCCTCTCATGACGAGGAGTGGAGCGCGGCACCGCACAGCGCCAGTCTACAGACCCACACTGGCCGTCTGCACAAACACCTCCCCAGCTGGAAAACCGTGTCCTGAACGGTTGAACATCCAAGGAGACATCCTCTCGCTACACTCGGGCACACTCAGCGACTGCCCTCGAGCCTCTCCCTGCGCGTCCTGCTCTGTTCTCGGGGACACACTCCACCTCGCAGGAGTCTGCCCCAGTCTCCCCGGTGGCCGAGCCAGCCAGCTGTCCACCTCCTCGTGACAGAACCGTCCGGGCGAGAGACGTGGCCAAGGTCACACAGCCGGGTGTGGGGGACCAACTCTGAGCCTCGCAGTTCCCACCAATCACAAGCTTCCAGAAAGTTCTCTTCAGTGAACAGGCAATCCAATTCCAACCGAGTGTACTTACATTATTTCCAAATAACTTCTCAATACCAACGTGGCCTAAACACCTCGCCGACATACGACGTGTAATTCTCATCAACAGCAAACCTGTCTGACTCCCGCCCAGGAAAGACGGGCGCAGAGGCTGAACCGGCCTCGCCCTGGTGGGTCTCTCACGGCACCACGTGGCTCTTCAGGATGGCGGCTTCCACAAACGCAGGAGCCGCCCGGAATCCCACCAGCTCTGCCCCAGCTGCTCTGGGCTGCCGAATGCGGACCTTCCTCCACATCCTAGAAGGGGGTTTCCAAAGGGCCCCGGCGCCAGGGGGCTGCAGGCTGCAGAGCAGCTCTTCACTGGACACGCCTCTCCCTGCAGGGCCCAACCCTCCACCACGTCTTCAGCCCGCCGTCTACCCCGTCAAGCCCCTGCAGAAAGAGGCTCCGCACTCTGGGTTCATCTCTAAGTGAAAGTGAGCACCGGCGTATCCAGCCCCGTGCACGGGCTCCCAGCAGCGCGTACTGCTCTGCTGACGGGTCCCTGCAAGGCCCCAGGGGTACGCCCTGCTAGCCCCACTCTTCATTGGAGAAGACCAGGTGGCACTTGTTAACACAATGGCCATCTGGGGGGCTGTCACAGGGCTTCCTGGCCAGGCTGCTCTGCCCTTCATCCCCAGCCACTCTGAGTGCAGCCCTCGCTCTTGGGCTGTTTCCTTGTCGCACACAGGGACAGGAACAGGCCTGGCCATGGCAGGTACCAGCACCCAGATCCCACGGCCCAGGCCTGGAAGTCCTGTCACGTGAGATTTTACTCATCCAGATCCAGCCTCTCCTGGCGGCAGCAACTCGTGCGCAGTGGGCGGGCAGTGTCAGGTGTCCACTGCCACCATGGCAGGGCGGCCACAGTCCTCCCAGGGACCCTCAAGGCCTGAGAGAGGAAGCTGGCGTTTGGGAGATGTGGGCTTCCCTGTAGCAGAACAGGCTCCGGCCCCCGCGGCATCAGTGCAGAAACCGTTGCGTGCACAGCCTGAGCCGTGTGCAGTGGCTGCTAGGGAAGGACCCGGCACCACGGACACAGAACCCGGCGGGGGCAGGAAGAAGCCTGTTGCTGGCAGCCGGCCTCTCAGGTCTGGCTTCATCCTCACCGGGCCTTTCTGTGTTTCTGAAGCAGCCAGGTCCCCTGATCTCTCTGTCTTTATCATACCCCTTTGGAGAGAAGCTGCCTGAGGTTAAGCTGCCTGAGTTCAATGTCTTTCAACAGGAGTTTCCACAGAACAGGTTTGGCTGTGTGTTTCATTGCAAATATTTCAGTAGCCAAAAATGTTGTAAAACTCAACCTCCAGTGAAATATCTGGAGAGCCCCTATGGCATCCTGGAAAAACCCTGGAATTCTGTGGGACAGGGTGTGGCTCACGGTCCCAGTAAGATCCAGAACTTTCCAGAAAAAGTTAAATGCAGGATGACTGTCAGCTTGCACCAGGCCTCAGCCAGAAAACCACACCCCTGGAAGGTGGGAAATCGGTTCCTTGATACAGCTGAAAAGCACTGATTCCACCCCAAATATACTCACAAGACAGAAAAAAAAATGTCATATGTCAAAGCAAACTGCTCCACGCTGGGCACCGGGCTCAGAATACCCGCTTGACCCAGGAGCTTAACGTCTAATGGAACAGAGAGTGCCGTGGCGATCAAAGGCAGCCTCTGCTCCTGGCGAGAGCCCCTGGGCGGGGCGCACAGGCTGCGCTGGTGCAGCAGAGCCGCTGGGGCCCCTGCTGCGGTGCAGGCTCTCCTTTCAAAGGCCTATTCTCGGATTCACTTCATCCTGACTTCATCGTTTGCTTAGTGACAGCGCAAACTTTTGGAATGACTGTTTAACACTGCAGAGGACGGAGCACCGCTGGGGAGAACTACTGCTTGGTACAGCTCCAGAGGAAGGTGCTCCAGTGCACCGCACGCGCCTAAGCGGAGGCCCACGCAGGCAACCCCGCAGCACCCCAATGGTGGTGACCCCATCTCTGTTCTGCACTAGCAGGTGGCCCCAGCCTCCCCCTCCACAGGAATAGCCAGCCAACCAGAGCCTCTGCCACGGGACCCTCCTTCCGTGCGAGCGAGGAGAGCAGGTGAAGAATGAGACAGACGTCCGTCCGATGCCCACAGCAGACAACCGTGCTGGGCGGTGCCAGCCCAGCCCCTCTGCAGCCTCCGCCCGCCCTGGCCAGCGCCATCTCGCCTGGCTCTCCCCCCACTGCCAGGCCTGTGTGAGAACCGCAGGGTTCAGTCTCTGAGTCTCTGTCACTACCGATAGGCTGGGCTTACGAAACATTTATTTGCATATTCACTAATGTCCCCGTGACCACGGGAGGGTTCCCCTCCAAACCAGACTTCTGGGTTTTAGTGCACTGGGTGGGAGGGAGTTGGACAGGTCCGGAGGTTTTGAGCCTGAGCTGACTTTTCTCCGAAGCCTGGCTGGAGAGTTCTCAGGGGGCGGGGTGGGGGGATCAAATCCCCGAGGGAGGCGTCAGGCTGACCCCAGTGAAGTCCTTGGCCCCTCGCGCCTCCCCACCCAGCCTCCTCTTGTAATCCTCCCCAAGGCGGGGTGAGCATCTGGTTGAGAATGTTAAAGAAGAGCCTAGAAACTCCAGCCAGTCACCTTCCACTCAGCACTGGGAGAGGGAGGGGAAGGAGGAAGGAGGCTCCCAGATTTGGGGAAAGAGCGGGAACTTCTCACTCCCTTCCCAGCGGGGCTGCCCTGTGCAGTTGGGCAGTAGGCACACGCAAACCCCGACCTGATCACCAACCAGGTGACTCCGAGGTTCGAGGTTCGGGACAGGGGCCCTGGGGCCGCCACCGCCACACAAAGCTGCACTGTGCCAACTTTGGGGAGCACCAGGTGGGGTCCAGGAGACGACAGCGGGCGGGCGGGCACGAACGGCAAAGAGGACCGTCACTCCTAAGTGACCAAGTGCAGTCACTCCTAAGCGACCTCATCCTACCCTCCCAGGTCTCCTGCCCCCTTCGGCCTCACCTCACCCAGATTGTGATAGGGAGGGGGCGTGCGCGGGGGAGGGGGCAGGGAGGCAGTGCGTGGAGGGGTGCGCGGTGCGTGGGGGCGGGGCGGGGTGCAAGGCTCGGAGGTGCAGGGCTCAGAGGCGCTGACTTGCGGGGGTGGGGTGGGGTTCAGAGTTGCAGAGCGTGGGGGGCGGGGCGGCCTCACAGGTGCGGACGTGCGAGGGAGGGCGCGGGCTCAGTGGTGCGCGCGTGCGCGGGGGGGCGGGGCGGGGCTCTGAGGGTGCGGCGTGCGCGGGGCGGGCGGCTCTGAGGTGCGGGCGTGCGCGGGGGCGGCTGGGCTTGAGGTGCGGGGCGTGGCGCGGGGGGCGGGGAGAGTCTGAGGTGCGGGGCGTGCGCGGGGGTCGGGGGCTCTGAGGTGCGCCGGCGTCGCGCGGGGTCGGGCGTGCCTGAGGTGCGGGCGTGCGCGGGGGCGGGGTGGGGCTCTGAGGTGCGGGGCGTGCGCGGGGGGCGGGGCGGGGCTCTGAGGTGCGGGGCGTGCGCGGGGGCGGGGCGGGGCTCTGAGGTGCGGGGCGTGCGCGGGGGCGGGGCGGGGCTCTGAGGTGCGGGGCGTGCGTCGCTGCTGACGCCGACGGGAGCCCGGGCCTGCCCGGCACTCACAGTAAACGAAAGCCAGGGCCTTCAGGAGCACGATCCTGGTCAGCCAGAAGGTGCCCGGGCGGAGGCGGGCCGGGCTGTCCGCGGAATCGCGGCCCTCAGCGGGCGGCGACCCTGGCGCGGGGTCCGCGTCCCCGGTTTTCCGCTTCCTCAACGACGTCTCGGGCGCAGCCATTGCTGGGCTGGCGGCGCGCATGCGCGGAGAGGGACGCGTGTCCGGACGCCCCGCCTCCGCCCGGGAGGCCCCGCCCACAAGCCGGACGCCCCGCCCACAGCGGAGTCCCGCCCCCGCTGGCCTCTCGGGCGCATCGGCGGGGAGGGCGGGCTGGGTGCGGGGCGGACCCGGCGTGCTGCTGCCCCGCGTTCACGGACGGGCGCCGCTCCTAGCGCGCCGGGCTGTGGGCCCGGGCCGGGCTGGGCCTGACACCGCCGGAACCCGCCCGCCTGGAGCCCCGACCCAGGCGCTGCCGCCGCATCGGGCCGAGGCCCTTGATGGAGGCCGTGCAGGGGGACTCCGCACTCTGACCTCTGACCCTGACCTCTGACCGGGGCGCGCAGGCCTGCAGCGGGGGCGGCGGGGCAGGGCCTCTGGCCCCTAGGGGTGGGGGTCCCGGCCCCAGAATGGGACACACTCGGGGCTCTCATAAGGAAATCTTTGAGGTGTGGTTTTTATGTTATTTATTTGTAAGAGCCCTTTACATATGAAAATGCTGCGCTTTTGTGTGTGATGCAAATGTTTGTCCTGGGTTTGTTTTTGTTTTTACAGCTTGTCCCAGCCTCTCAATTTCATTCCCAGTGTTTTGACATAAATTATTAATACTTGTCTGATCAAATGATCCGGCTTCCTTGCTTGTTTAATTATATTTTATCCACCACAGTGTGAGCCTCAGGAGGGCAGGGACTGGCTGGACACGGGCTCTCCCAACTCTAGCCCAGCCCAGCGGCTGCAGGGACCCCTCCCCAGCCACCCGCCGGCCTGCCCCGAGTTGGGTGACAGTGTATGTGGACAGCTCCCAGTGTGACCTCAAGTTTCCTTTTCTTCTCCACGAAGACCCCTCCCTGGGGAGCCCAGCTGCAAGTGGGTCGTGTAAAAGGTATAGCAGTAGGTGGAGCACGCGTGTTCGAGCAGAGCAGTGTGCACCCCAGGACGGCAGGAAGTGTTAGCCCAGCCTGCACCCTGCACCCCATCCTCCCACGGGACCCACGACCCGCACCTCCCCGCCCCTCACGCAGCCCCAGCTGCAGGACTTCCGGGTCCCTGCCTGGATGCCAGAGCTGCTCAGGGGACCGATGGCCAGCAGGGACAGCTCCAGCATCAGGTGTGACCCTGGGTGCTGCATTTCAGGTGGGGGCAGCCCTCATAAAGGGCCCCTTTGTTCCCAGCGTCCCCTCGCTGGGGCTGGCTTGTCCCCCCCTGGCGGGGCACAATGGGGCATTGTGCAGAGCAGAAAAGGGCCCTTGTTCTGCATCCAGCGCTCCGAGCTCCGGCCGGGCTCCGGGCTCGCTCTGGGTGTGCACGGGGCCTGCGGGGAGCGCCTGCTTCCCCTGTGCTTGAGTTTCCTGCTGCCCGTCCACCACTTAGGCTGGGCTCGGGACTGGGCATGGCATGGCCAAGGACAGGCTCCAGACTCGAGCCCGAATCTGCTCCAAAGTGCTCCAGGGTATTGCTCAGCCATCAAAAGAAAGTTCTGACACTCTACAACGTGGACCAACTTCAAAAATACCAAGCCCAGTGAGGCAAGACCGACACAGAAGCCACGTGATGTGCAATTCCATTCACGTGAAATGCCCAGAACAAGCATATTGCAGAGAAGGGAAGTAGCTCCTGGCTGCCAGGGCTGGGGGGGGGGGGGCGGGGCGGGGTACTATTTGGTGGGTGTGTGTCCCCCTGGGGCAATGAAAACGCTCTGGAACTAGGCAGAGGTGACGGCTGTGCCATACTGTGGACATGATAAACACCACCTGAAACGGTTAATTTTATGCTGTGTCAATTTCACTCCAATTTTTAAAACAAGTAAAACGAAAACAAAACAACAAAAGACAATCCTGCATAAACGAAAACAAAACAACAAAAGGCAATCCTGCATTGGAGTGGCTGCAGAGTCACCTGCCTGGATAGGTCATGCCATTCACACCAAACCTGCGTCTTCATCTGCACGAAGGAGCATCTGGCAATTTAAAAATAACATTTAGAAATGCGTGTGCCTTACTCCCTAAGACTGTGCTTCACTCAGAAAAATAGAAACCTCTGCAAACCCAGACCAAGCTGCAGCACCTGGAAGACCCATGCTGGGGAGAGGGGCCACCTGCCAGGCGGGGTCTCTGAATGTGTCCTTTCTCCCTGCAGCTCAGCGCCCTTCGGGCCACCAGAGGCAAGAATCCACCTAAGCCGCCTCTCTCCCACGGGGGGCAGAGAGGCTCCTGGACTCACACTATGGAGCAGAAACCACGAGACAAAAGGCCAAGCCGACAGGAGAGGCTGCCCCGGGGCGGCCCTGTGCTTCTGGAGAGAGTGGGAGGTGCTTCCCTGAGAGGAGCCGCCAGCTCTCGCCTTGGACGCCCAGGGTGGGACTCTGTCCCCACTGTCCCGGCCTCTGCCAGCACCACCCCCAGGACCAAGGCACACACAGCCGGGGGCTGGCTGCGCTCCCAGCAGCTGCGGGCCGGCTTCACGGAGGAATGAGCCCCTGTCAGCACCTCGCCCAGCTGTCCCCCCGGCACCCCGGCCTGGCAGCTCCCACCGCGTTGGGGCCATTGTCCCCGACATTCAGTCGCAGCTGTCTCTGGCACCCACCAGAACTCAGCTTGGGCCCGAATCTAATCGTGCACCCTTCATTTACCCCCATTTTTCATGTCTTGAAATCTGTTTACGGAGGGGGGCAGGACCCCGTCGGTGCTAACCCTTCTGGAAGGGCGGTCCGTTTGGGCAGATGCCGCCCGGACTGCCCAGCGGCCAACACGCCCGGAGTGAGGCCGGCAGGTGCGGTGGGGGCGAGCGAGCAGGTGCCGTGCCATTTGCCCGCCGTCCTGGGACAGTGACTCACGGGCGGCTGTTCTGCTTGGCGCAGTCTCCTGCTGCACCCTCGGCTGCGCGCCAGGAGTGCTCCTGCCCTGAACCCTGGAAAATGTGACCCTGTGGAGCCCCGAGAGCTGGCCGGCGCGGTTCGCAGGCAGAGTGGGAAGAAAACCTCCCAACGCAGTTATGTTCTCTGGTCGTGGGGTCCTCTGGCAGAAAAAGAATACGTTACTTTTTTTTCTCCTGGAATTCATATTCTGAACTGGAAGGAGTCTTGGAAACTGCCCCGCCCAGAGGTCACAAACCGGACGCCAGCGGGCTGCACTCTGCCCACAGAGAAGTATCCGTCAGTGAATCGGCAGTGGCCACAGCAGTGCTGCGTAACAAACAGCCCCGGGACCACAGGCCAGCGGGAATTGGCACAAAGGCAGACCCAGGAATCCCGTGTTCCTCGCACCAATCCCCACCAGTCTCAGGGAGCAAAGCTTTGCTGCAGACTCCCGTGCAAGCCTCCCGAGTGCAGCCCCTTGAAGCGGCACCATCTGTCTTGCTGAGAACCACGCTGCTTCCTCCCACTGTGCCCACGTACCCGCCTGAGGGCATCTTAAGTAAACCTTCCTTCAGCATGTTCAGAAAAATAAATACTTGGGAGACAGCAGAGATCTGTTTACAGGGCGTGTTTTAATTTGTGTGTGGTGCTAATGGTTCTCTGGAACATTCCGTCGTGGCAGAGGAGGTCAGGGCCCAAGCCGGCCAGAGCCCCCTCACTGGAAAGGGATTTTTCTTTGTGACATGTTTATTTCAAGCTACCATCATCCAGCCTGGTTATACTCAAAACCGGGGTCTGCTTCGGGAGGTTTCAGATTTGGACGTTTTGGGCAAGAAGCGTCATTAAATCCGAAAGTCGAACTTGGAAGGTCGGACACTGGTATTGGCAGCCTGTCTAGGCCCAGAAGGCTGCTCTTCTGAAGTGACAGTCCCGCCAGTGTCCCGCTGCCCTCCCGCCTGTGGGCCTGAGAAATTCTCCCCTGGGGTGGCTCCTCCGAGGAGCTCATACCCGGAACGAGAGCCTGGGCCGGGCTGGGCGAGGGGCTCAGAAATGGGCTGGGGACCAGGATACAGGGGATGAGGCCCAGAATGGGGCTGCAGGTCCACGTGTCTGTCACAGAACCTTCTAGTGCAAGCACAGAAGTCAGCTCTGCACGGCACAGCCGGGGAAGGGATCCATGGGCTTATGGGACGGAAACGTCCAGAGCGGGGACAGCTGGACCTGAGTCTCAAACTTCATCAACAGACTCGGCTTCCCCCGTGGAAGGCGCCGCCATGGTTCGCTGCCCGTGGAGCCCCCGGCCCTGCCTGCCGGTGTCTCGGCTGCAGGAGCACCTCTGCCCGCCGTCGACCGTGCAGCCTCAAGGCTGAGGGAGCCACTGGTGTCCGCTCCATCTCTGCCCCCGACAGGGAGGAGGGGCGGATGGGACACAGCAGGGAGTGTGGGGACCCGCTAGCGGCACAGGGCAATGGATGCAGAGCAGCAGGGACCGCGGCTGTCCCCAACGCATCTGTGCTCCGTGCGTGCACCTGCCGGTGGGGATAAGGGAGCGCTGCGGCCCTTCCTGGCACCCTTTCAGAACGAGGACGGCCACCCGAGAGTGTGCACTCATTTGTCAGGGGCTCCTGTGCACGGAGGAGGGAGGGCTGATGACGTGCAGGGACAGGTGGGGGCCCCTCGCCCCGCCCGGGCGCCCAGACACTCCTGCAGGGCCAGGAGCAGGAGCACAGGGTGGTTTCCACCGCGACCGAGGCAGCAGGAAGGGCAAGGAGCGGACGAGGCCAGCCTTCACCAGACCAGATCTTGGGCCCCGGCTGGCACTGTGAGCACCCCGGGGACGCCAAGTTGGGGGTCAGCAGAAGGCTGTCCCCCAGCCCCGTGAGCCTGCTATCAGGAGGCCGGCTCCAGAATGGGGGACCCCAGTGGAGCCCCGTGAGCCTCTCTGGGGACAAGTGGGGCAGGCGGCTGTCTCCACCCGGCCACTGTCCTGTCCCCGCTACACCAGCCGGTCATTAAAAGCACCAATTAACCTCCGAGGCTGACCGGGTGCCCCGGAGCGCAGGGCCGGGAGGCCAGCAGGGCTGCAACACACAGGACAGCCGGCTCCACGGCCGCCCCGCCCCGCCCCGCAGGCCCCACGCTTTTCCCTGGAAGTCCGCACAAAACACAGACGGGCTCGCTGGGCCAGGCACTGGGGGGCGGGACCACCGGGACCAGCAGGGAGGGATAGCCGGGGGCGCTCGGCCCTGCAGGCCAACACACATGCTCTGCACACCCCCACACACCCAACAGACACACCCCCCGACACAATAGACACACACCACATGCACACAACATACACACACAACATACACCAACACAACAGATACACCCCATGCCTCACATATGCACAACACACACCCACCACACACAAACTTAGGACACACCATACACACACCACATGCACAGCAAATGAGCACACCCCACACGGCACACCACACCACTGTCCACACACGGCCTCCGGGGGGCGCCACCCCTAGAAGCCCAGGACTGGACCGAGTGGGGTCTGTGGCCCCGAGGCCCCACTCTGGGCGCGGGCGGCACCCGCCAGCCACGCCCTGTGCGCAGGTGCCCTGGGCGCCTCCGGGTGGGGGTCCAGACCTTCCTGCCGACTTCCCACGCCCGGTTCAAGTTCCACTGCTCAGACCCCGTCCCTGAAACCGCCAGCACACAGTGGTGAGGGCAGGGACGAGGGGCTGAGGGGAGACGGAAGGGGCCTGTTCATGAGGACATGGGGTCCAAGAGGTGGGCACAGCGGAGGCTCCAACGGCTGCCCCTCAACTCCTCAACCACCAGGGCCTCTGTCACCAAATCCCCCGTGCTCTGTGCTGCTGCAGGGCCTTTGCACATGCCACCCACCCCGGGAACGCTTTTTCTTCCCTCTTTTTCTTCTCCATGAGGTTGAAAAGTTCAGGTCTCAGTCTAATTGTCAGAAGCTCAAAGAAGCCTCTCCAGACCACCCTTCATACAGACCCGGCCCAGTGATGAGGGCCTGTGCCCTGGAGATGCTACTTGTCTGCCGGCTACCGCCCCCGCCCCAAGGCCAGCATCTTTGGGAGGAGCATGCAGGGCCATTGCGGAGGGCCCCAGCACACAGCAGGTGCTTAATCTATACTTGGGAACACACAGACCGACCCTAGACACCTCCCTCTCTGAAAGCCGGGTCCCTGGGTCCATCCAGGAGCCAGTGGCCAAGGACTGAACCGGGTCAGCACTAACCGAGGAGGGAGCCCAGACGGTGCTCTGGCATTGCCCTGTGTGCGGACTGCAAGAGGGGCCGGAGACAGGTCTGACATCCCTGCAGCCCACACTGGGCTCAAGGACCTAGACCCTGAGCCCGGGTCAGGAGGGGCCAGGCCCTCTCTCACACCCTCTGGGCCAGCCAGGCCCACCCCTGGCCGGGATTACACCCCTCCCCACTCACCCCATGGTGCCTGCACAAGTGAGACAGAGGCCACCTGCTGCCACTTCCTGCCAGCCCCTGGGTGGTCACTGCAGCCCAGGGAGAGGTGCGGGTCACTGGTGCAGCCCAGGTAGGACCTCAGACGGCCCTGACCCACCTGTGTGTGACCCTGGGCCAGGTGCCGGACTCCTGGGCTCAGTGTCCTGCCCCCCAAGGATCCCAGGGGTGGGGACATGGGTGTGGTGCCCTCCTCAGTGGGTGGGGGCCGCCCTGCACACTCACAGCAACCTCTGCGCCATCTGCCCTGGCAGCGAGGAGCCCTGGAGACCTGTCGCCCCAGTGCCACCCAGGCCGAGGGAGGGGTGCAAATCTGCTCCCCAGGACCAGGGCGGGTGTGAGGCAGTAACTTTGGGCCAGGTCCCCGCCTGTCCCCTTCACTTAAACCCCTGCTTTCAACTGCCGGTCCCAGGTCCTGCGAGGTCTGTGGGTCCCCTGGCAGCACCCCCACCTGGGACTGTACAGGTGATGCTCCGCAGACTACCGAGGGCACCTGGGTGAAGGGCGGGGACTGGGAGGAGGGGTCTTCCTTGGCAGGTGACAGAGCCAGAGGTGGCGGGTGGTGGAGGGCAGCACAGTCACTCTGGCCTGGCGGCATGCTCAGGTGGAGCCTCCCAGCGCACAGCTCACCTTGGCAGCCTCCCCACGGCTCCCCTCGCCCTGCGGGTGAGGGGGGGTCAGGCCTGTGGGCCCAGACCAAAGCACCTTCTCATCGCGGGCAGGTGGCAGCCAGCCGGGCCCTGGCTCTTCAGTCTCCAGACCGATGCTTCCCCGGAAAGGCCCAGCTCCTGGTGCCACCCGTTCCAAATGTGAGGCTGTGGCTCCGGGCGGCGGCCGGGGCCACCATCTCTCGCCCGGCCAGAGTGAGCCCGAGGCGGGTAAGGCGCGTGGGAGAAGCTCCAACGCAAGCAGCCGACTTGACTTGCCTTTGGAAGCGCCAGGCCCCTCTGCTGGGCGGGTCAGAGGCGGCGCCACTGGCCCAGGCGTGGGTGACTCGGCCGTGCGCGGTTGGAGGGCCCTTGCTTAGGGTCTCCCGGATACACCTTGGAGACGCAGGAGTCCCGCGTCGGCCGCCTGAGGTGGAGCGGGGCTGTCGCCTCGAGCGTTGGTCGAAAGAATCCGGGCCGTGCTCGAGGACTGCGGGCCTGGGGCCAAGTCGCGGGGGCGGCCGCGGGCGGGGACTCGCAGCGGTGGCTCGGCGCTCGCCTCGAGGGAAATGTCCCCTCTCCGACCTCGCCGCCCCCACCAGGGCGGCACACCCCCCTCCCTCCTCCTCTCCAGGCGTCCCGGGCGCAGAGGCCAGCGGCTGCCTCCGCCTCCGTCGGACCACCCAGAGCCGCCGCGCCGGAGGGCCTCTGCCTCCTCCAACCCCGGGGTCACACCCGGAAGGCCCTAGGCCCCCGCGTCCGGCCACGCCATCCGCCTGGTGGCCTCAGGGATTCGGCAGCCCGGGTCAGCCCAGGCCCCGCCCCGCGCTCCCGCCCCCTCCAGCCGCCCGGCCGGCGACCGCGCCCCCGCCAGCGCTCGCGCTCGGATGTGGAGCGCGACCTGGGGTCGCCCAGCTCCTGGGCGCGCGTTACCTGGACGTGCGCTGCCCGCAGGCTCGGAACGAGCTGGCGGCTCCCGCATGTCGCGCCCGCCCGCGGACGCGGAGCCCGGGCGTTGGCGCTGAGCGGCTGAGCGAACCCTCTCCTGGGCCGCGGGCAGGCGGCGGCTGACCCGGCCGGCGCCTCTGGGTTGCGGGCGAGACGTCGGGGCTCGAGACCGGCTGTTTGTCGGGGGTGTCCCCGAGGACTCGCTGCCTTGCTAAGCATCGGGCCCAGGGGCAGACGCACCCAGGAGCGGCCACGGGCCCGCAGAGCCCCCGCCCGCCCTCCGGGACCCGTTTTTCCTTCCCGGTCCCCCAGGAAGGGGGGCTCGCGGCGCCGGGAGGTGGGAGGGCGCGGGTCCCGGGATGCTGGGCGCGCCGGGCCCACGTGGTGCCGCGCCGGGCGGGGCGGGCGGGGGCGCAGCGGGAACCGCGGAGCTTCCTTTATGGGTGGGGGGGCGGGGGCGGCCGAGCTCCGCCCCCATGGGAGTGGGGAGCGCCCCGACCAATGGGGAGACGAGTGGGGGGAGGGGCTCAGGGCGCCGCTTAAAGAAACTTGTTGCGGGTCTCCGAGCCCGGACGGAGCTGCGGCGGCGGCGGTGGTGGCGGGGGAACCCGAGCTGGGGCGGCGGCGGCGGCGACGAAGGTTGGGCCACCGCGCGGCAACCTCGGGGCCCGGATCGGCCACAGCGCAGCCCGGGCGCCGGCCCCGGTGCACTCCCCCGTGCGCGCCCCTCCGCGCGCAGCCCCGATGCTGGACATGAGCGAGGTCCGCGCCCAGCCGCCCTGCAGCCCGTCCGGCACCGCCAGCTCCATGTCGCACGTGGAGGACTCGGACTCGGACGCGCCGCCGTCGCCCGCCGGCTCCGAGGGCCTGGGCCGCGCGGGGAGCACAGGGGCCGGGGGGCGGGGAGACGCGGCCGAGGCGGCGGACGAGCGCTTCCCCGCCTGCATCCGCGACGCCGTGTCGCAGGTGCTCAAGGGCTACGACTGGAGCTTGGTGCCCATGCCGGTGCGCGGGGGCGGGGGCGGCGCGCTCAAGGCCAAGCCTCACGTGAAGCGGCCCATGAACGCCTTCATGGTGTGGGCGCAGGCGGCGCGCCGCAAGCTGGCCGACCAGTACCCGCACCTACACAACGCGGAGCTGAGCAAGACGCTGGGCAAGCTGTGGCGGTGAGTGCGCCGTCCCCAGGCCGCGGGGAACCGGGACCCTGGCTGCTTGGCCTCAGGCTGCGAGCGGGGCCTGGGGGAGCGCGGGGGCTCGGAGGCAGACACCCCACGCCTGCCTCCTCCGGCTCCGCGACCCGAGTGGGAAAGCACCCTGCGGACGCGATCCCGCACCAGGCGTGGGTCCGGGTGTGCGGGGACAGCTGTGGCCCAGGTGGTGTGCACCTCTCGGCTCGTTCGCCAGCTCTGCGACATCCTGCCGGGGGCCAGGGCTGGCACCCCGAGGTGACCCCCGGCCGGGCACGGGGCTCTGCTGGGCTGGGAGCCGCCTCCTGCAAGCTGCCTGGAGGTGCCCTTCTTGGAAAGGGCTCCCAGGACGCCCACGGGAGGGAGGGGGCGGGCAGGTGGACCCGCTGCCAGTTGTCCAGCTGCTGCTGTCCCCACGGCTTCGGCCTCTCCCGGCCACCTCTGTGCCCGCAGCAGCGAAGGATGGAGGGAGGCGAGGAGGGAGCTGGCTGGCAGAGGCAGGCTTTGTGCGCACTGGCTTGGCGAAGCCGCCGTTGGGCGGAAAGTAGGACACGGCGGCGGAGGACTTGTTGCTGGGAGCAGGCCACCCCCACCCAGCGTCCTCCACTTGGGTTTAAAATGGAAGTCCGTGGGTTTGGGGCTCTGGTTCCCTGTTTCCTGCTCCTCGCCTGGTGAATGGGGACTTGTAGCTTCCAAGTCTGCCCTTCCTGCCTTCTGTCGGGATCTGGGGCACAGCCCTGCTCCCCTAACCCTGTCCAGGCAGCTCGAGGGGAGCTGGGGGCAGCCTGAGGGGATCCGGGACGCAGGGAGGACAGACGCCCGGGTCTCCCCAGTGAAGTCTGGGAGCCCAGCGGTTGCAGGCCCAGCTGCCCGCCGGTCCGGCTCGGTTCCCGGGAAGCCTTGCTTTTGTCCACAGTGCAATTCTCGGCTGGGTCCTGCCCGCCTCCCTCAGAAAGCCCCAAAGGGATGGGAGAGACTGCTTGGGAAGGGGGAGCAGTAAGAGGAGATGGACAGGGGTTTGGGGCCGCTCCTTTGGCTCTCAGGAGCCCCCCAAGCAGGCTCCCGCCTTCCCTTCTTGGTGATGGCAGCTTCCCCGGCCAGGGCGGCTCGTCCTCTCCCTGCACCTCGGTCCCTGGGCCTGGCTGTCTGCTGCCAGCACCCCCACCCCCACCCGGGGCTGGAGCCGTGGGGCGCCCTGGCCATCCCTGCGTCCGCCCTGTGCCCTGCAGCTTGCTGAGCGAGAGCGAGAAGCGCCCCTTCGTGGAGGAGGCGGAGCGGCTGCGTGTCCAGCACAAGAAGGACCACCCGGACTACAAGTACCAGCCCCGCCGCAGGAAGAGCGCGAAGGCCGGCCAGAGCGACTCGGACTCGGGCGCCGAGCTGGGCCACCACCCTGGTGGCGCCATGTACAAGGCCGAAGCCGGCCTCGGTGACGCGCACCACCACGGCGACCACACAGGTGGGCGCCAGGGCCCCTGTGGCATCTGACAGTCCCTGGGGAGGGGCGGGGAGGGGCGTGGCTGGGTGCCTGGCATGGCCAGGCTGAGCCGCAGCGGTGGGGGCAGGGCTCGCTGCCAGCCTGGCGAAGGTGCCAACAGAGAGCCGCCCACCCCCCGCCCGTCACAGCCGATTGTGACCCACGAGGGGCTGCTCAGCCAGCTCTGTTGGCTTCACTTGGTCCGGTGCCCCGGGAGGTGCGTGTTTTCAGCGGGGCCAGCCGGCAGCCCCGGCCCCAGGTGAGACGGGCGGGTGGACTCCCGGCAGCCAAGCGGCCTTGGCCAGGTTGGCCGGAGCCGGGGAGCCGGGTTTGCTCGGCGGTGCCGGGGAGGAGGTTGTGTGTGGCTTCACCGAGGCCGAGCGCTAGCGCCGGCCGCCGCCTGCCGTCCGCTCTCCCAGCCGTGGTCTCCCGGGAGGGGCCGAGGTCTTCCCGGAGAGCTGCGCCTGACGGAATTTTCTCGGCCAAGGAATGAGGTCTGGGTCTGACTTTGCTGGAATTTCTGGGAAACGTAGAGAAACAAAAAGCCGTTCATTCCTACCTGTGGCGGTTGGACTGTGGCGTCCCTCCCCTCGTGGCCGGCCGCGGCCCCTCCCGTGCCCACAGAGGGGGCATTCATGCCGCCGTGCGCTCTCTCCGCAGGGCAGACCCATGGGCCGCCCACCCCGCCCACCACCCCCAAGGCCGACCTGCACCAGGCCGGCGGGGGCGGCGGCACCGCGGCCAAGCCGGAGCTGAAGCTGGAAGGGCGCCGCCTGGTGGACAGCGGGCGCCAGAACATCGACTTCAGCAACGTGGACATCTCGGAGCTGAGCAGCGAGGTCATGGGCAACATGGACACCTTCGACGTCCACGAGTTCGACCAGTACCTGCCGCTGAACGGCCACTCGGCGCTCCCCGGGGAGCCCGGCCAGGCCGCCGCCGGCTCCTATGGGGGCGCCTCCTACTCCCACCCCGGGGCGTCCCCCGTGTGGGCCCACAAGGGCGCCCCGCCAGCCTCGGCCTCCCCCTCGGAGGCCGGCCCGCCGCGGCCGCACATCAAGACGGAGCAGCTGAGCCCCGGCCACTACGGCGACCAGCCCCAGGGCTCGCCCGGCCGCGCCGACTACGGCCCCTACAGCGCCCAGGCCAGCGCGCCCACGGCCGCCCCCGCCACGGCCACCAGCCCCTTCGCCAGCTCGCAGTGCGACTACGCAGACCTGCAGGCGTCCGGCTACTACGGCCCCTACCCCGGCTACCCCTCCGGCCTCTACCAGTACCCCTACTTCCACTCGCCGCGCCGGCCCTACGCCTCGCCGCTGCTCAACGGGCTGACCCTGCCGCCCACCCACAGCCCGCCCAGTAACTGGGACCAGCCGGTGTACACCACGCTCACCAGGCCCTGAGGCCCCGCCCGGGGAGGGCTCCCCCGGCGGAGGACGGCCTCTTCTCTGCCAAGACGGGCCAGGCCCCCGGCCTCCGGGTCGGGCCTCCCGGCTGTGCCCGCCAAGTGCCTGCTGCCGCGGAAACGTCACCGAGGCCCCGAGGCCTCTGCCGGTGGACAGCGTGCCCTCTCCCTTGCTTCTCCCTCGGGGAGGTGACCGGGGATCCCCAAGGGACGGCCACTCCTCCCTCGCCCGTGCGGCCCGGAGGGTCTGCGTCTCTGTCCCAGCCAAGCAGCAGCAGGAAGCACGGTGGGGGAGGCTTGCGGTCTCCGCCTGGGCGCCTGGGCGCCGAGATACCCCTGCACCAACCGAGGACGCTCCCAGGGCGGCGGGCGGCGCGGCACACGCCCCGGCTTCCTCCACGCCAGCCAGCGGGCGCCCCGGGGACCCGCCACCGAGCTCCCGGCGCTCCCTGTGGCCGGTTCTCCCGGGCAAGGTTTGGCTGTGATTAACAAAACTTCTCTCTTTTTTATTTTATTTTTTGGTAATTTTTATTTTTGAAGCTTAAACGTGTTTGTTTTGAGAGCTGTTAAAGACGTATTTATGTTCTGTTGTTATTTTATCTGTAATTAATGAAGTCATTTGTGCAGAGAGTAGAATATGAGACAAAAACGGAAGCCGGGAAGCTTGCTCGGGGGTTGGGGCGGGGGGGAGGGGAGGGTCACAGCAGTGGCTGGGGGCATCTCAGCACGCTCGGACTGGGGCGTCTAGGGAGGCCACCCGCCCCGCCCCCCGCTAGGAAGGCCCCGGGCGCCTGGTGGGTCCCCCTCCGCTCGGTGGCCAGAAGCCCTCAGGAGGGGAAGGGGTCGCCTTGTAGCGTCTCTGATCAGGTGCCCCCTCTCCCCCGGCACCCAGGGTTAGGTTGGGGTTCGGGAGGCAGGGCTGGTCTTGCCCGCAGCGTGCCAGGTGGCAGAAGACAGGCATTTCCTGGGGAGGGTGGCACCGGCGCCACCCACCAAGCTGTGAAGCTGAACCTTCTCCGCTAGACGTTAGCTCTTAGTGCTCGGGGACGGACCGATTTAGCTTCTGCTGGTCGCCGAGCACACGATAACCGCCTACTTCATGGAAACTCGTGCCTTTAAGACTTTGTACATTCAAATACATCTGAGAAGTCGCTTCTTTTTACTTTTTCTACTTTTCCTACCTTTTTCTAGAAAAAAAAAATCTTTTTTTTTTTTTTCTTTGCGCCTCTCTCTGGGGCCGGGGGGCACCGAGGCAAACCGGTTTCACGCGATGTGCGTCTCGGCGCCGACCGAGCTCGGGAAGACCTGCTGTCACTCGCTCCTTTCTGACCAAGCGACACTAACTTTTGTACAGATCCGTTTGATAAAATTAAACAAGTGCTTTTTACCTACGTGGGCTGCGTTTTGTGAGTTGCTTTCCGTGAGCTCTGGCGGTGGATGTGGTGGTGCCCGGCCGGGCAAGGCCCAGTGCTCTCGGCGTAGGCTTGGCCCCCGCTCCCCGAGCCGGCCAAGGACACGGGGTCCCACTGAGGCAGGGCAGCCTCTCACCCCGCAAGGTGCCCGCAGGCCTGGAGTCTCGGTTTAACCCTCCGCTGCCCCTGCCGCAGCCGCCTCCTCTCCCTTCTTGGGGGGCCTCTGTGGGCACAACGGGGCCAGGGGGGCCGGGTCGGGGCCGCGTTTTCCCTCCCGGGCGAGTCCCGGAGCCCGTTCTGGGTGGCTGCGTGGTGCTGGGAGCTGGCGGCATTTTTCGGGCCCTGGCCGGGAGCCAGGCTGGGAGCGGGATGAAAGCCGCCCGGCGGGGACCGGGCAGAGCTGTCTGGTTGCAGGGAAGTTTCTAGGGAGAAAGCGGTTGTGGGGAGTGACAGCCAACGGGGACAGCCTGGTCTGCCTGCCAGGCTTCCCGGGCACACGGGCTGCTGGGGCTGGGGCCGCCCCTTCTGTGCTGCGCAGATGGGGGCTGGAGGACTGTGCTTATGAGAACCCAAACAGGAGGGGCGGCTGCGGCTGCAGTTTCCATGGGGCGGCCCCAGTGGGGAACCCCACCTCACCCCTGCCCCTGCCCCCGCCCAGCCTCCACCCTCCCCAGCCTGCTCCCGGGCTCCTGGGTCCAGGCCCTGCCAGCAGCAGCGCTTGGGGAGGGCTGCGCCAGTTTACGAGGGTTCCTGACGTGTGGGCCGTGCCAAGACCCCCAGGTGCGGGGGAGTCTGGGGAGGGGCTGCCACCGCCTGGCTCCTGATGCCACTGCCTTCGCGGAGCCGGCCAGCCTGCCCTGTGTCCAGCCAAGGGCCGTCCGGGCCCATATGGCCCTCTGAGCTCAGGCATTGACACCCCGGACCAAGGAAAGCCCCAGGCGTCCGGCTGCTGACAAAGCCCGGCCCCCTGAACCCGCGCAGGGCCTGCCAGGTTCCCAAGGGCTGGAAGGCCTGGAGTTTTGCTGGGCCTTGGCGGGGCTCCTGCCTGTTAACTCCTGGGGCCCCGGACCCTCCGGCCGACTGGCTGTGGGGTGAAGAGCCCCCTCGGCCCGGCCCAGGGTGCCTCCTGTGGGTTCTCCGACATCTGTGTTTCGTGGATCGAGGCCGTCCCCACCCCCCTCGAGGTGCACCCACACCCTGGCTGAGGGGCACACGTGCTGTGGGGTTTTTTGCCCCCTTCCCCCCGGCCTTGTTCCTTCCTTTTCTTCCGGGCCCCTCCCGTGTCCTGACTGCTGCTGCCCACCTCACCCTTGCGGCCCTCAGGCCAGGGGTCCTGGGAGCCTCTAGGCACTGGGTCCCCAGGGCTGCTCCCCGGGGTGGGGCCACTGCCCGGCCCTCTGGCTGGTGCGGGTTTTGCTGCAAAAGGTGACAAGCCCCCCAAGATTTCCCCAAGAGCCCCCAGCTGGCGACGTTCCCTCCGAGGCTGGCCGGGATCCTTTGAGTGCAGGCTCCTCCCGAGCCCCACCAGCCCATCCCGGACAGGCCAGCGGGAAAACCTCCTCGGTGCTCAATTCCTCGCCCAGAGCAGAGGTCGTTGTCTCTGATCTCGGGGAGCAGACGCCCTGTGCAGACCAAAAGGGGAAGTGGGACTGACGGCCGCCCGGCTGGGGGTCTGGGAAAGCCCCCGTCGTCCTGGGCCCGAGTGGCTCCAGGGCAGGTTTTCCGGGTGGATGTGAGCTGGGCCGGCGTGGCCGTCACCCGGGAAGGCCGGTGTCCTCCAAGGGCTGCCTGGGAGAGGCAGAACCGGGACCCACTGAGTCCCCGGGGGCAGGAGGCTGCAGGGAGGGGACAGCACCCGAGTGGGGTGTCGCAGACTCGGGGGCCCGGCCTGGGGACCCTTCCTCATCAGCGTCTGCCAGACTCCAGGCCCCAGCCGGGCAAGGACACAGGATCTTGCCGACCCCAGCTCCAGGGCTGCCGTCCCAGGCATTGGGCTCGGTGACCCCTGGATGGCAGACAGGACCCAGACATGCCACATGGATGGCGGCTGGGCCACGTTCCTCCAGGTGTCCCCACAAACCAGCCCCACTCGGGCCCCAGCCTTGGGCCGTGGAGCCAGCACTTCGTCCAGATCCCCGAGCCCCGCCCCGGGTGGGGGGACCCAAGGTGAGGGGCCTCCCGCCATGGCGGCGTCCACGCCTGGGCTTGTGCCCTCCACGGGGCCGTGGGCACATGGGATGGGGCATCGGCCGGAGCCACAGCTCAGAACCCCCACACTTGGGCCCTGCCCGCGAAGACGTTGCCTCTCCCTGCCAGGCCCGGATGCCCTGAGCCCCGGACCCCAACATTCCTGAGTTGTGGTTGTCGGGGAGGGAGGAGCCTGGGCAACGGGGCCGTCACCTCCACCTGCCCTCAGAGCCCCTGGTGTTCCTGCCTGTCCTGCAGGGGCAGAGCTGTCCCCAGATGGGCTCCCACCCCTGCCGGGACTGAAAGCCAGCGGGCTGCTCCCGGCCTCCCGGGCTGCGTCCCCCGAGGGAAGGCAGGGTGGGCCGGTGGGCGGTCAGCAGCTCTGCCCCTACCAGCATACTACCCCGTGCCTCAGTTTCCCCTGCGACCAAGGTGCCTGGGGACCGACTGAGCCCGGCTGGCTGTGGCTGTGGCAGCACGTGGGCCTTGCTGGTCTATCTCACGCCACGCGTGCCTGGACCCCCGTCCTGGTGCAGCGACTCCCTCCCCCACCTCGCGGGGCACCTGGGGCTCGTCCCTCCGAGGTCCGCCAGGGGACAACCTGGGACGCTCAGAAGACCCGTCTGCCAGGGCTGGGTCCTTCCGGGGTAGTCAGCAGCCGCCCGAGCCCCACGCCTCAGGGCCCTGGCGAGGGCCGGGCGCCCAGCCCCGGGGACCCCGCAAAGGGTTAAGGGGCGCGGGCGGCCGTGCCCACCTCGGGCCGGAGCGGCGCTGGTGCCGGGCCAGAGCGCGGGGAAGGCGCTGCATCTTAATGAGCCATTATTGCCGCGCGGCCTTTGTCTGTCTTTATCCGGTGCACAATAAAAGAATTAATTAGACAGAAAATGGCAGGGCAAGGGACTGACAAGTCATTAAGGGCTGCTGAATGACCGGGAGATGCAGCGGGCACCGCGGCTGCGGAATGATAATGGCCGCGGCGCTTTGTATGCGCGGCCAGCAGGCCTCCGGCCCGGCACTGTGGGCCCCGGCGGCCGGGCGGACGCAGTGCCTGCCTCTCCCAGCAGAGCGGGCAGGGCAGCGGCCGGACGGGATCCGAGCGTTAATTTCTACGCCCGGACAAGGTAGGAAGTGTATGCACCCAGAGGGGACCTGGGGTGGCTGCGCTGACCATTGGACTTCACTGCTCGGCTCGGGGATAGAGGCTGCAGGGGTGCGGGGCCTCTGCCTGCCAGAGAGAGAGCGGGAGGGGGTAGGGGGAGAAGGCGGGGTTGGGGGAGAAGGATGGTGGGGGAGAGAAGGGAAGGGAGAGGGGAGGAGGGAGGGGGAGGAGGGGAGGGAGGAGGGAGGAGGTGGAGCAGGGGAAGGGTGGGAGGAGCAGAGGAGGGTGGGGAGGAGGGAGGAGAGAAGAGAAGCAGGGTGGGGAAGGAGAGGAGGTGGGTAGAAGGCAGGAGGGTGGAGGAGGGGAGGAGAGGAGGAGGGAGGAAGGGAGGAGGGGAGGAGGGTGGAGCGAGGGGAGAGGAGGGACAGGGGAGCGAGGAGGAGGGTGGGAGGAGGAGAGGGGCAGGAGGGAGCGAGAAACGGAGAGGGAGGGTGGGGGCAGGGAGAGGATGGGTGGGGAGGAGGAGAGGAGGTGGGGAGAGGGGAGGAGGAAGTAGAAGAGGGGAAAGGGAGGAGGGAAAGAGGGGGAGAGGGAAATGAAAGGGGAAGAGAAAGAGGGGGAGAGGGAAGAGGGAGGTGGTGGGAGGAGGGGGCTGGGAGGAGGAAAGAAAAAAGAGGAGGGAGAGAAGTAGGGAGGCAGGGAAGGGAGAGGGTGGGTTGGGTGAGAGGGGTGGGGAGAGGGAGAGTAGGGAGGGGGGCAGGGCAGGAGGAGGGGATAGGCCAGAGAAGGGAGTGTGGTGTGGGGGAGGAGGTGCTGGTGGGGAGAAGAGGGGTGGGGAGGGGAGAGGATGGGGGCCCTTGCGGCACCCAGGAGTCCTCCCTGAGCGGCTGCCACAGCGTCCGGCCGCCGGAGGGCACCCGAGAAGGCGCAGGTAGGGGCCGCAGCGCGGCTCTCGCGCCGAGGGGGGACCTGCGCTCCTCGCTGGCTCCGCGCCTGCGCGACCAGGAGGCGACCCGTCCCCCAGCGCAGAGCTGGCGAAGGGGGGGTGTCCCGGCAGCGGATGGGCGTCGACGCCGCGGGAAGCGCCGTCGTTGCTGTGGAAACGCGCCGTGTGCGGGTTCGCACGCCCAGAACACGCGTGAGAATGGCACGCACGGGCAGCACTGCCCCGCCCCCCGCCTGGCGAGGCGTGCCGTCTGCGGGAGCGGGGCCCGCCTGCTCTGACGGGAGGACGCGCCGCCCGCTGGGGGCGAGGCCGCGGAGGGGCCAGGCTGCCGTCTGCTGCGCAGCCCGGCGCGCGGGCACGGACGCCGGCAGGTGCGCTCTGACGGCCCTGCGCCCCGGGCCTCCGCTGGCCGGGCAGGGCCGCCGCGCGTGCAGGCGACGCGGGCTCGGCGGCGGCTCCCGGCTGGCGCTCCCCAAACCTCTGCTCCGAAGCCCCTGCAACCGCCCTGCCGCAGCACGCACGGTCGCGCCATCGGTGCCTGCGCCTGCCGCGGGCCGGCGAGCTCACTTTCCCGGTAGCTTTTAATCCCGAGGTTCCCGCCCCTTCAGAAGCCACTAACGAATGTTTCATGGTAACGAGAAAAAGGAAAAGCTGTCACGTTCCCGGCGTCAACGTGAGCTCCCGCGTGGGAGCCGGGCTGCGTTCCAACCCTCCGCCCGCGCGCCTGGCGCCCAGGAGGCGCACGTGTGGGGCGCAGCCCGCCCGCTCCTGGGACCGCGTCAATATTGGCTCAGAGAGAAGGTGGCGCCAGCTTCACGCCCAGGGGTCGAGGGGCGTCCGGGGCACCCCCAGGGCTGAGGCCCCTGCAGCCTGGGCTGGGTGGGGACACCAGGCCGGGAGAGACGGGGCAGGGATGGGACGGGGTGGGGCAGAGGTGGAGGAGAGCCCGCGGGGGCTGGGCACAGGCGCTGGCTCCGGTCCAGCCCACCCACCCACAGGCGACTGCGGCTTCGCAAGAACCACGCGGGGGGATTTCCTGACCTGTTTCCATCAAGACTCGGTTCTGGCACCGTCCAGCCGCCGAGGAGGTGTCCCTGTGCGCGGTGCCCGCCCTCTCGGGGTGGCTGCCTGTCCCCGGGGGCCTCGGGCTGAGCGCAGGAGCTCTAGGGGGTGGAGGGGTCACCTGGGCAGCGCGTCTGCCTCCCCGTCGAGAAGGCCGGGCAGGGCCCTGCCGAGACCCCCGCCCTGGGCAGGGCCGGAGGGGGAGAGCCCCAGGGAGGGTGCGGAGGGCGCTGGCCCTGCCCCCGCACCCAGCCCTGCTGCTTGCGCCTCCCAACCATGGGCTCTCGGTGCCGGCGTCCTGCCCCGCCATTGTGGGCATGGGGGCCGCGTCCTGTGCAGGCGCCTGCCCCAGAGAGGGCTGGACTCGGGGGACTGCTGACGTGGTCGGGGCCACTCGGCGCTGGGAGCCGTGGCCTGCCCCCCGCCCCACTCAGGGGGACGCTGACACTCCGTGGGGCCACCCGCCGTCTCTGCAGGGGCCTGCCAGTCCCAGCCCTGTGCCTGTGGCAGCCCTGGTGGCAGGGCCCTCTCTAGGGACGTTCTTCCCCTCCCGAGCCGTGTGCAGGAGCCGGAAGCGACCAGAGCCGGACAGACCACGGAGGGTACCTGGTGGCTGAGCGTCCCGTGCACGAGCACCTCAGTTCCAATCCCACCTCGCTGGGCCTCTGCCACAGCCTCCTTCCAAACCCTCACCATTTGCAGAAAGAACAGGCCTGGGGAACACACCGTTGCTAAGGGCAGGTGGCGGCATTCCCAGCTTCCCCTGGCCCAGCCGCTTCCTCTGCAGCATCGCAAACCCAACGTGTTCCCGGCTTCTTCTTGCTTACCTCCCTCGACGGGGGGCTCACTCCCTGTGAAGGCGTCTGCACTGGTGCTGGACGGCTCGGAGTGTGGCGAAGTTCCTCTGATTCCTCTGTCTTCCTCCAGCTGTGCCCCGGCGTCTGGGGCGACAGAGCCGGGCTGCCACCACTCGCCCTCACCTCGCCGGGGCAGGCCCTGCCGGGGCCGGGGCCGGGCAGCATCTCTCATGGCCCTGCCCAGCAGCAAGCAGCCTGGCCGGCAGGGGAGTGGGCAGTGAATGAGTGAATGAGTGAACGGGGGGTGGATTTGCTGTGTGGACACATGAAGACTAGTGTTTTTCTGCTCGGAGAGGAGCGAGCGAGTCGCCCTACAGCTCCCCTGATTGGTGGATTCTCTTCCAGCCTCCACAGCGGCCTGGCCAAGAGTCGCAGAAACGCTGCGTGCATGAGTGTGTGTGTGCGTGTGCGTGTGCAGAACACCCGTGACACGCGGGCGCCTGGAGGTGATGGGCGTCCTCCTCCGAACCTGCGGCCTTCGTTTCTGCTTCCAGCCAGGCCCTGCCCAGGGCCGTGTTTCCTGCAGGCTCGGCCCCCCTGGCTGTCAGACGGGCCGGGCGCAGCGGTGGCGGCTTCTAGGTTTCCCGTGAGCAAAGGCAGCCATGCAGACTCGCCAGCCCCGCCCCTACAGAGAGCCGTTTGTCAGACTGACTTTCCAGTAACCGGTGAGCCCGAGGGTGAGAAGGGAATTTCACTTTGGAACAGGCAGGGACAATTTTATTTTCTTGACCGTGTGATGACTTGATTTTTTGGAAACTGGCCGGGGTGGGGGCGGTGTGGGCTTAGTCTTTGCCGGGGGGCTGTCTGTCGGGAACGGGTTGGGGGTCGGGGGTCGGTGTGAGGTGCAGCCCCTCCACCCTGTGTCTGAAGAGGGCTCAGTCCTGGGAGTACGGATGTGAGCACTCCCCGGACACAGGGCCTTGGGCGGGCCTAGGTCTCCTTCGCGGTGGCGATGGCCGCCTGGTCCCGTCCCAGCGTCCGCCGCGCCCACTGTGGCCTCTTCCTGGCGGGATGTCCTCCTGCCCCGCCCACGAGGAAGCCACCACCACTGTTGTCCCGCAGTGACACGGGGCCTCCCCTCCCCCAAGCTCCTGGGGACCCCATTCCAGGTGAGACCCTGGCCCAGAGCAGGAACAGCAGAGTGAGGGGCGGGTGTGGGGACCCGGGGACGGCACCACTGGGGCAGGGGCGTCAGTCGCTTCCCTGCAGATGGGGGCATGGCTCGGCACCTGGGGCGGAAGTGCCACGTGGCCAGGCTACCACGTGGCCCCTCCAGGCCTGCAGGGGGCCACGGGGGTGTCCCGGTGCCTCCTAGGGGGCAGCCAAGGGGCTGGAGGAGCCGTTTCCCCAGCGGGGGCTCCAGTCCTGCTCCCCACCGGAGGCGAGGGTCCCGTGACGGGGACCACGTCCCAGCCTGGCCTGCGGTCGTGTCTGAAATAACGCCCGGCCCAGGGAGGAGGGCGTGGAGCTGCGGCAGGTGGACATGGCCAGAGCTGCCAGGCCGGGTAACCGGGGCCCAGCCCAGGTCACACTCTGTGGCCCAGGTGCCAACAGCCAGGGCGGGGGCAGCCTACTGTGGCCCACCCTGCCCCACAGAGCCCACGTCCTGCCCACCCTCCCGGCTGGCCAGGCCCGGGGAGCCCGGCCAGCCCCGCCCAGACTCTGTGTCTCCCCCCAGCCCGGCGGGGGTGGGGTTCCTGGATTGCCTGAGGCTCCCCAGCTCCCAGTGCCCGGAGGGTCCCTCAGACCCTTCCTCGTGGGACCCCAGCTGTCTGCTCCACCCCGTGGCTGTCCCCAGGCCCCTGACCTGGTGCACCCTGGCTCTGTCCCCGGCTGGGCCCGGCCCTCACTCCCACCCGGTGCCAAACCCCATCAGACACAAGAGCTTCCAGACGGGCCCTGGGTTTTCCCCTTCAGCTGACATTTAACCCCAAACTGGCTGGGCCTGGCCGGTCCCTGCCCGGATGCCGTGGGGGGCTCACGGGCCGTCCCTTCAGGGGCGACTACCAGGGCTGAGGTCCCAGCGACCACACAAGAGGGAGTCCGGGCTGGGCAGGGACGTCCCAAGGACAGGGGCGGGGAGCCCGCAGCCAGGGTCCCAGGGTGGTGCCGGGGGGGCAGCGCTGGCCCTGCACACAGCAGGTGCTCAGACAGTGCTCACCGGGAGCAGAATGCCGGCCTGAGGCTGAGGGAGGGGTGCTCCCGGGGCAGGAGTCCGGCGTGGGTGTGGCCGGGTCTGGTCGCTTGCACCTGTGAGCCCCAGGTGAGCGGGAGCAGCCACGGCGCTGGGGGCGCGGGTGGGCGGGGAGCTCAGAGCCCACGCGTGCGTGGGGGTGTGAAAGGGACAAGAGACAGGGCCGGGGCCGGGGGTCAGCTGGCTCTGGCCCCACGCAAGACCTGGGCGGCCCCAGGAAGGCTGCCCGGCAGCACAGGCGGCGGTGAAGGACACAGGGCCTGTGTGGCGGAGCCGCCGGCCTTGCCTGGCCAGCAGGGCCCAGGCCCGAGCGGCTGCTTCTCGGGAGAGACCGGCCCCAGCGGCAGCCCCTCCAGCGAGTCCCCCCAGCAGCCTGGCTGGGGAGGGGCCGGTGTTGCTGCGTCTGGAACGTGAGGTCATAACAGAGGCCAGTGGGAGGCAGCGGCAGGTGTGGAGGAGCCGGGGGACGTCCCCGTGAGGGCCGCGGGCCGGCGGCCAGACAGCGGTGGCCTCGAGTTACAAGGGCTGCCGGTCGGCAAGACGGGGGCTGGCGGGAACGTGCCTGGCTGTGACCTCGAGGCCAGACGGCACCGGCGACAGCCGCCGGGTGGGAGGGCTCAGTGCACACGGCGGTGGGGGGCCACTCAGGCCTCTGGGGCTCCACGTGGACCACGGATGTGCCAGGCAGGGCCCCCGCGTGGACAGGGCCCTTTGGGCTGCAGGTGCTGGTGGCTTCGGGGTCTGACACAGCCAGACCCCGGCAGGGAGCTCGGCAACAGTTTCGGGGGCTTTGCTGGTCTCGGGGACGTCCCAGGCCGGGTCCTGGGAGGGGACGGTCCCACATGTGCAGCAGCAGCAGCACAGGGCAGGGGCGTGGGCGCCACTCTGTCTGGCAGGCAGGAGCAAGCCACCCGGAGGTGTCCCCAGAGGAGGACGGGGACACTGAGGCGGCACAGGGCAGAGAGGAGAGACGCGGCCACAGCCACTGCTGCCGGGGTCCCCGGCAGCTGCAACAGGCACAGAGGGTCCTGCCGGACCTGGGCACCTGGTCTCGCTGGCAGCTCAGTCTCAGCTCTGCCTGCCCAGCTGTGCACGTTTCTGCTGCTTCAAGCCGTCCCGTTTGTGGTCCTTGGAACCCGTGTCAGTGTCTGTGGCTGCAGGGTCCCCACGACCCTTGGCCGTGGCCTCGGCACTCCCCCCTCCCCCGGCGCCCCCCCAACCTCGCCTGTTCTCAGCCCACAGGGCCCCAGGGGCTCAGGGCAGCGAGTCTGCTGGGCAGGGGAGAAGCGGGAGGGAGGAGGCCGAGCAATCGGGAACCTGCCTGCAGGTCGCAGAAGGCTGCAGAGCCCCCGGTGACAGGGACGACCCCAGGTCTCTGCCTGCAGGTGGGGCCGGGGCCCAGGGCCGAGCACACGGGAGGTGCCCGGCCGCCGTCCGGCGAACGCCACTGCACACGGAGCCAGGCCGGGGACGGAGGACGCCAGGTGCCACGTCCTCCTCCAAAGCCAGCCGGCACCTGAGCCCAGGCCTGTGTCAGGAGGAGATGCCAGCGGGTTCCCTTTCCAGCGTGAGCTGTGTCCGAGGCACCGGGGAGCCCCCGAGGTCCCCAGCGCGGGCCCCTCGGAGCGCTGTGTCCCGGGAGAGTAGCGCCCAGGAGAGCCCCGTGGGCAGGTGGGTGGCTCTGGGGCCGGGGGTCCCGGGGCAGCTCCAGGCCCCGGCGCAGAGCCGGGAAGCGGCTAAATCAGGTGGAAAATCGGCCTCGGCCTCCCCCCAGGCCGCCGTGTCCCCAGGAAGGCGCGGATTACCCAGCTGCCGGGGCTCCTTCCTGCCTTTGCCGCGGTGAGGTGATCCGATAGCAGGACAGCTGCGCTGGCGGGGGGGGGGGCTGGGGGGGCGTTTGCCGCCTGCCCCCCTCCCGGCATCTGGCCACCGCCGCCTGGTGCTGGGTCCCGCCCCACCCCCCACCCCCGGCCTCTGCCATGCGCCCCCCACCCCTCCCCCGGCAAAGGGCAGGCAGGGCCATCTGACGTGGGTAGCCGGGGCGGGCGGGGGGGGGCAGGGAGGGAGGGGCATCTGCGTCCGGCCCCTCCCCAGGCCCTGAGTGACACAGCCCCAGTGACCACGGAGTCCCCCATGGCCACCCTGACTGCTCCTCACCCCTAAGAGAGGAAGCCAGGTTGGGGGGGGGAGCCCAGGCCTGATGCCCCCACCGCAGGGCAGCCTGGGCCCAGCGGGCTTCTCTGTCCCCTGCCGTTGCCGATCCGGCGCCTGAAAGATGGGGGGTGGCTGTCTGTGGGGCAGGGGCCCTGGGGCTGGGATTCTGGGCCTGCAGCCCAGTCCCCCTGGGCCTCAGTTTAGCCATCTGTGAAGTGGGCTGGACTTAATCTTTGACGCTGACCAAGAGGCCCGTGCAGCACAGAGCGTGGCCCCATCACACTGTCTCCACGTGCGACCGGGGGTCCGTCTGTCTGACCCACCTGCCCCGCTGGAGCACTGGGTGGCCGGGGGCCGTCCCTGGCGCTGGGAATCCCTGCCCTGGCCCAAGGTGGCCGGGCTCCTCGGGGGGGCCAGGTTCTCTGGCCTCCCGGACCTGGCGCTGGCTCAGGGAGACAGAAGATTCCGGAAGAGGCTCACGGGGAAGGGGGTGTGGGGGCGCCAAGGGCAGAGCCCCGGACACCCCACGGGGCCTGGCTTTGCCTGCTGGGAGCTCCAAGCAAAGCGTGTGACCTGCCTCCACCCTGGTGGACTCTCCACAGGGTTCTGAACGTCTTGGTTCCTCTTGGCATTTCTTCTTCCCTCCTTTGCTCCTTGTTAAATTTTGCACGCTCCTTTTGCTTTTTTCAGATGAAATTCTCATGCGATAACATTCACCATGTCAAAGTGCACAGCTCCATGGCTATGAGTGTCCTCACTAAAGGTACCGGAACTGTGCAACCACCGTCACCATTAGTTTTAGAACATTTTATCACCTCCGAACAGAAACCCCGTGGCCCTCGGCCACACTCCCCAACCCCATTCCCACCCCCGGCCCGACAGCCACGGTCTGGAGCCTCTTTCTGTGTCTTCCTGTTCCAGACATTTCACGGAAACGGGCTCAGGCAACGCGTGGCCTTTGCGCTGCCTTCTCTCACCGAGCACCCTGTGTTTCGGGTCGTCTACCCTGCAGCATGTGTCGGAATCTCCCTCCTCTGTGCGGCTGCAGAGAGCTCCTCTGTGCAGACACACCGCGCCCGCCCATCCGCCCGCCTGCTGCTCCCGCCTGGTCCTAATGTGAGCAGCGCCATGGACATTCACACGCAAGTCTTGCGCGGACGTGTGTTTTCAGTTTCGTTGGGAACGGACCCTGGAGTGGAATCGCCAGATCCCGTGCTAATTCTGTGTTTACCCTTTTGGGAGCCACCGGACTCTTTTCCAAACTGGCTGCGCCTGTTCGTACCAGCAGCGTACGGGGGCTCCAGTTTCTCCATGGCCTCACAATATGTATTTTCTGGCTTTTTAAAATGATAACCATTCTGGCGGTGGCTCACGCCTGTAATCCTAGCTCTCTGGGAGGCTGAGGGGGACGGATCATTTGAGCTCAGGAGTTTGAGACCAGCCTGAGCAAGAGCGAGACCCCGTCTCTGCCAAAAATAGAAAATATTAGCCGGGCATGGTGGCGCATGCCTGTGGTCCCGGCTACTCGGGAGGCTGAGGCAGGAGGATCGCTTGAGTCCAAGAGTTTGAGGCTGCAGTGAGGTAGGCTAACACCACGGCACTCTAGCCTGGGCAACAGAGTGAGACTCTGTTTCAAAAAATAAAATAAAATAATTCAAATAATAACCATTCTAACTGCTGTGAAGTGGTGTCTCAGCGTGGTTCAGATTTGCGTTTCCTGATGACCGGTGGTGTGTGGCATCTTTGCACGCACTTGAAACGTTGGCCGTTGGTGCATCTCCTTTGATGACGTGTCTGTTTGAATCCTTTGCCTATTTTAAAAGAAGTGATTTGTCTTGTTGTTGTTGAGTTGTCAGTGCTCTTTGTATATTCAGGATACCAGTCCCTTGTCAGACAAGTGACCAGCAAACGTTTTCGCCTGTTCAGCAGGCTGCCCATTCACTCTCTTACTGGTGGGCTCTGAAGCACGAAGCTTTTTGACCTGGATGAAATCCGATCTATCTGCTTTTCCTTTTGGCCTCTCCGTCCATTTTCATCTGGCCATCGGGACCCATTTTGCAAGATGCCTGAGTCCTGTGCGGGCAGGGTGGGGCGTAGACACGTGTGTGCAGAGGTGGCCTGCGTGTGTGACCGCTTGCGTGGCATCGATCGCAGACTGTGGGTGTCGGAGGGGCCCAGCGAGACCAAGGCAGTCAGGGAAGACTTCCTGGTGGAGGTGGCTGTTCCTTCATGATGCTGTGGCGTGGGGACCTCGCCTGCTTCCGATGGTGGGAGCTCCTTGGTGTGGGTGGGACCCTCAAAGACCTCTCCACGTTGTGCCGCCCCCCTCCTTCGGAGCCCAGCCCCGGGCCTGGAGCAGTGCGCAGCTGAGACCACAGGGCTGGCTGGAGGCGGCGGGCGATGAGTTCTGACTCTCGGAGGCTGCTGCGAATTGGACGGAAACGGGGAAATGGGGTTAGGGCAGAGGGAGCCAGGCGCAAACAGCAGGACCCCTCCGCGAGCGCCGGGCAGCCGGGCGGAGCTGGAAGAGGCGCTGGACATTGCCCGGCGATGGCGTCACGGCCGAGGGCAACCTCTGCGCCGCCTCGCGCGGATGGGGCCTCGGCGCGCCCTCCCTGCGGCCGGCTGGCCTGCGCTGAGCTCACTCGGTTCCGAGGATTAATTTGGAAACAATTAGAATTCTGCGCAGCACAAGCAGCAGGCCGGGCTGGCACGCGGGGGGACCTCACTCGCCAACGCGGAAATCTAATTAGCGCGGGATTAGCCGCCGCAGACCAGCGCGCCGGACGTGCCCGGAGGGCCAGGACTCACACGGGCAGGCTCGGCGGCGGCCCGGCGGCCAGAAGGCCACCCCACCGGCGACATCCTGACCTCCACGCCCTGTGGCCCCAGCCCAGGAGCCCTGCCCGCCCACGCTCTAGGACCGGGCAGACCCCCGCAGCCCCGAGGGAAGGGGCCGGTCCTCGCGGGGACCCCTTCCCTGTGCTCCGCCGCCGCGGTGGAGCAGGCCCAGGCTCACCTGCTGTTTTCCCTTCAAAAAGTACCTTCCAGCCGGATGCAGTGGCTCACACCTGTAATCCCAGCACTCTGGAGGCCGACGGGGGAGGATCGCTCGAGCTCAGGAGTTCGAGACCAGCCTGAGCAAGAGCGAGACCCCGTCTCTACTAAATAAAGAAAGAAATTAATTGGCCAACTAAAAATATATAGAAAAAATTAGCCGGGCGTGGTGGCGCATGCCTGTAGTCCCAGCTACTCGGGAGGCTGAGGCAGGAAGATTGCTTGAGTCCAAGAGTTGCTGTGACCGAGGCTGATGCCACGGCACTCACTCTAGCCCCGGCAACAGAGTGAGACTCTGTCTCAAAAGAAAAAAAAACGCCTTCAGACGTCTGGCGATCCCATCAGCGGCCGTTTGTTGGCCCCGAGAGATGGGAGACAGGGCTGCTGTGCTGGTGTCTGGAGGAGCCGTGTTCGGTGAGACGGGCCGGGCGCCCCCGTGGGGCTGCAGAGGAGACGCACCTGCGAGGTCACCTGTCGGCCAGGTGTGTGAGGATGCAGGGCCTCACTGGGGCTGACTCGGTGCCTCCCGAGCTGCCCCCTCCCGGCTCCACGGCCCCCGTTAGGCGCAGCCAAGAGGGGGTGGGCGGTGGTCCTCAGAAGGTCCCCGGCGACCTCGGGTCGGGGCCACTGTCCCAGGTGTCCCAGAAGTCGGCGGCTGGGGGAGGTGTCCGTCTCCTGGGTCTGGACGCAGCTGGCTGGGGTGGGGGCAGGGCTGGGAAACTCCTCTTCATGTGCGGGAGCCCCTGCAGCCGCGCCCTGCCCTGCCCTGCCCTGGCAGGACCCTCTGAAAGCCGCAGGCCCCTCCGGGCACCGCGCAGCCCACAGCCCCCTCCCCACGGGGGCTGCCAGGCACCGGGATGTCTCCGCTCTGTGCCCGGTGCGGGCAGCAGTGTGAGCACATGTAGGTGCGTGTACGTGTGGCCCCTGAGCTGCATGTTGGGGGCAGCCAGGCTGAGGGGTCCCCCACGGCTCAGCGGTGGGGTCTGAGAGGGTACCAGCCTGGGGTGGGGCAAGGCTGGGGAGGGGGGTGCAGGGAGGGGTCACCCTGTGTCCCCCACCTGTCCAGGGACCCCGGGCTGGGGGGGGCTCGCCCCGCCATGGCACAGGGAGAGTCTGGGGGCTTCTTGCCCCTTCCTGCCCCCCCAGGTGGCCCCAAGAAGCCAGAGGGGACCAGGGCCAGGCGATGTCCTGGGCGGGGAAGGACGAGTCCTTCTCGGGGAGCTGGGTGGGTAGCCATCCGTGAGAGCTGATGGGCTTGAACTCCGGCCCTGGCTCCCGCCTGGCTTGGTTATGGGCCCCGTGGGAGCCTGTTTGGCCCTTGGTGTTTGGAGCCAGATGAGGCCCAGCCAGGGCGAGGCCCAGGCAGCCGACCGGCCCAGCCTCCAGCCCAGAGGTCGTTGGGGCTGCAGCCCCCTGGCAGGTGCAGGGGAGGGTGGGGCGGGGCTGACTGGGCAGAGCAGTCAGGTGGGGTGGGAAGGGGCCTCAGGAGGGAAGGGACTTGCCCGGGGTCACCTGGCGGTGGGGCGGGGCCTGCTGAGGGGCTGGTGCCCCAAAGCCCAGGTGGAAAACCTGGGCTGTGCCCTGGAGACCCGTCTCTGGACTCCACGCCCAGGCGTCGGGTTCCCGGAACTTCCTTCCACAGCTCCTGACCTCGGGACTCGGCGCCCGGGGCGGCCATCCTCACCCCGCTGCGACCTCGCCCGGGGCTTTCAAGGTGTCTGAGCAAACTTCTGCTTCTGCACGAATTCCCCTCGAGGGAGGAAGTGGGGGTTTCCTGGCTGGAATGCGTGTTCTTTCGGGGGCAGAGGTGGCCGGGAGTGCCCGGCTGGGCTGGTGTCGGGGAGCGCCGGGTCTGGCTAGAACTTACGGCAACACCTGCACACAGACGGGGGAGGAGGAGGCCCGGGACGGGCGAGGTGGCAGAGGGACGGGGTCAGCTGTCTCCAAGCCCTGCCACCTGACAGGCCCTGACCTCCGACCCAGGCCTGGAATCCCCTCACGGGGGTCAGGGCCACCCCGGCCGGCCCCCTTGTGGTCCTGGATGCCACGGGGGCTTGTTCAGGGTCCTGCCTTCCATGATGGAGTCGGGGTCTCGCTCGCTCCCTGCTGGGGCAGGGGAGGGGTCGGCGCTTGTCCAGGCTCCCAGGGCTCCAGCAGGTGACGGTACCGCCATGCCCCCTGAGCTCAGCGTGACCTGGTCTCTCCTTTCCAGGGAGCTGCTGGGGCGGGAGGTCTGCTCCCCCGGGGCAGCTGGAGGGGGTAGCCGCCCCCGTTCCCCCCATGTGTCTGGAAAACACCCTGGGAATCCACTTGGCGGGGGGCCAGGCTCCTCCGGGGACCTGCGGGACCTTCCGCGTCGCAGTGGAGAGCAAACAGCCCAGCCCACCTGGCGGAATTCCCTGGAGACGGCTGAGTCCCGGCTGGCCGGGGGGGATACAGAGCGGGTGGCCAGTCGGCTCACGGCCGCTGTCCTCCTGGCCGGGCCGCTTCTCCCAGGGGACAGGCCCGGGGCAGGGTGGGACACGCGGCTCCTGCTTCTCGGGAAACAGAAAGCTGGGCGCTGCGCGGCCCTGGAGCGCCACTTGACGGGCAGGCACAGTCACCCCTGTGCCTTGGTTTCCTGATCCGTAGGGTCCTCCCGGGCAGACCCTCCCCACCACAGGGCAGGGAGGCCCCCTGAGCCGAATCGGCCCTAAACAGGGAGGCGGGGGCAGGGGGAGGAGGGTGGTGGGACAAGCCCCAGACACAATGCCTGTGAAGTGGGCAGAGTCGTGGCACCGACATCCAGCCTGGCAGGGGCGGAGCCTGGTGGGGGAGCCTGGTGGGCGGAGCCTGTGGGGGTAGAGCCTGGCAGGGGCGGAGTCTTATGGGGTGGGGCCTGGTGGGGGCGGAGCCTGGTGGGGTGGAGCCTGGTGGGGCGGAGCCTGGTGGGGGAGCCTGGTGGGCGGAGCCTGTGGGGTAGAGCCTGGCAGGGGCGGAGTCTTGAGCCTGGTGGGGTGGAGCCTGGTGGGGCGGAGCCTGGTGGGGCGGAGACTGGTAGGGCAGAGCCTGGGGGCGGAGCCTGGCAGGGGCAGAGCCTGGCAGGGGCGGAGCCTGGCGGGGGCAGAGCCTGGCAGGGGCGGAGCCTGGTGGGGGCGGAGCCTGCTGGGGGCAGAGCAGGCACAGTGTCAGCCACCCATGGGAAGGGTCCCCGCACGGTCACTGCTGTCATTAGGGACATCAGCTGGGGGCAGAGAAAACGTGGCTCAGAAAGCCCAGTTTGAGTCCCACCCTGCCAAGCGGGGGAGACCCTGGGCCAGAGGCCCAACCCCTGTGCCTCAGTTTCCCCTCTGCAAAAGGGGAAAGCA